TTGCTAGCAATATGCCTTATAAGGTAGACCTACACGTGGTCCCCCCAGAAAACCATCTTGCTGAATTCCTGGTGTATTCATCACGATGGACTAACTGACCTGCCTTTTCATTCTTATCTATCAAGCCTCTCTGGCGCCCCACCAGCGTATACCGTTAGCGCGGGCGGAGTTACCATTCCATTATCATAAATTAAAAAAAAAACATACGAATTGCCATTCGAGATAGTATTATTTTTTCTTTAATACATAATAATATGTCAGCCTAACAGCGATTGCAAATCCGCTTGCCAAGCGTGGCAACTACTGGCAAAAACCCACTGAGGCTGATATAACGATGATATCGACATAAATATAGTTAATATATATTGTATGTGTGTGCGTGTGCGTGTGTGTGCGTGTGCGTGTGTATGTAAGTGTGTCTATGGATAGAGTAAGAAAAAAATTAAATAAACAAATTGTGTTTTCAAAAAAATTATAGCCAAATTTTAAATATGATATATCTTAGTGGCCCTTATCACAGTGTATATTGAGATATTTATACTATTTATTGGGAATACCTGTTAAATATTTACCGAGAGGTAAATACCGTCTCTACTAACTGTAATGTTGTGAAACTTTCAAGTATATAGGTGTTGTTATATGCCAGACAAGATGCTGCGCAACAACTATATTTATTACTTTGAAAGTTCAGAATATATTTTCTGTTTATTTACATAGTAAAGTCGAGCGCCGGGTCGAACGCAGCGTCAACACAATTAGAATTTTCCCACTCTCAAAGAGGTAAACATAAACATGGTGAGTAGGTACCAAACGGTGTTAGATATTGCGAATTAAGACCGATTAATCGAATAATCAATTTTCTAATCAATATATAACATTAAATCGATCCAGCGAGTCGATATTTCAAACAGAAATAAAGAAAATCCTAGAAAAATCGATCTTCAATTTTTTTCCTCATTAATAAGAACCTAATTTATTTATAATCACTTGAATTTAAGTACACATGTAAATTTACAACAATCAATAAATTTCTAAAATAAATGTAAAATAATTAATAAAATAGGTAGTAAAAAAAGATTAATATAATAAAATATCAATTACTATGGTGCCTGTTTTGTTTTCCATAATAAGATTTCAAATTATATAAAATTCATATAAAAATACAAACTCGAACAAAGATCGATTCTTAAGAAATCAATCTATTAAACTTCTATTTTTTCTTAATCGATTTATTAGATTACGATTCGAATCGATACAAAACTCGATCTTTTTCCGAATGAATCACTAACCCTAATCTGAGTCTATGCTGGGCTGCAATTAAGTACTGCCTACATAAAGTCATTCTCATTACATTTTATAATGGTTATCTAGATTATTTTTCAACACCAACGCCTTTGGATTTATAGAGATAGGGTCACCTTCAATGACACGAGCAATCTTGGATAGTTTCAAGTACCTCCAACATTAAACTTAAATAAATTTAATGTTGGTCTTATTCAATCTATGTTAGCTGAACTTAAACCAGAAATTTTTTAACATCTCTGTAAATTATTGATGCCCATTAATTCTTCTCTTTCCGCGTCTAGGGAAAGTAGATAAAGTTTTATTTGAGAAATCAGTTCAGGGTACAATAGGACTGATATACCTGAAGAAGGTAAAAGCCCTTAAAATAATATTAAAAAAACATATATAGGTACTTATCTTGATAAAAAGAGCGATTGTTAGTAATGGCACAGATAACACTATACTAGTAGTAATGGGGAAATTAGTCCCCATTAGCAACAATATACTCTGTCAAGTCCACCTTCACACGGTCCTCACTGAAAATATAATTTCTATTTGTTTTTATTTAACTTTCCTTTTGTTGGTGCAACTATTTCATGTGGAATTTTTTAACGAGCTGTTGAGAGAAAAAAAGTGTCATTAAATGTTATATGATGTTATACATACCATATTAACATCACATAAAATTCAATAACATATTTAGATATGGCTGTGTTTCGGTTTGAAGGGTGGGATATGGCGAGAATTTACAGGGTACAGAGGAATAACAACTGAGTCCTCAGGAATTGCAACGCATGAGGGTATCATGGGCGAAACAGTATACTCTGTTATGTTCATGGTACTGTTCATGTCTATAGGCGACGGTTACCACTTTCCATCAGGTGGACCATCAGCTTGTTTGCCATTCTAAGTTATATAAAAAAAACTTACTACTACCGTAATTATGATTAACGTTGGTTAAAAAGATTTTCGTTAATTCAACATGGTGATCGAAAAAGGCGGGAAACGTTAAACTTGGCGATATTCAGAAGGATGAAACTAAAATTAAAATACTTGATACTGGCAGAAATGGTCGTAAAAATAAAAACCGATTGCCATTTAAAAAAAGAACTATTACATGCATTCTCTTCCAGGCAGCTCTATTTCAGGCCATATCTTTGTTCTATTTCCGATATTTCTAGTAAATTCTCTATGATGAGTCAACTGATCTCTATTCACGCTTGTCTATCATCCGTCACTAGTAGATTAGTGTATATCAACATTAGATCAACATCTTTGAAGATGTTATCATTCCATTTTCATTCATAAAAAAATCCTATCATGATATTATTGCGTTGTACTCGTATAGGTAAATAAAGGTAGATAAGTAAATATATGAAGTAAACACTTCACTTGAGAACGAATGGAAAGATTTCGCTATTTTTTTTATATATTTATATTTTCTTATAACTAACGATTTTTTTTTTATTATTTTTTTTATACAACTTAGAATGGCAAACAAGCTGACGATCCACCTGATGGAAAGTGGTAACCGTCGCCTGTAGATATAAGCAGTAGCATGGACATAACAGAGTATACTGTTTCGTCCATGATACCCCCCATGCGTTGCCATTCCTGAGGACTCAGGTGTTATTCCTCTGTACCCAGTAAATTCATTCAGTAAGACTAGACTCCTAATCGAAAGTCTCTCAGCAAGCTATGGAAAGAACTATGCTTGGAGTTTCTCTAAGGAATCAAATTCGAAGTTAAGTAATTCGTAAAAGGGCCAAAATAACCGACGCAACTCAACGAATTTTTATTACTAAAGAGGCAAACGAGTAGACAGTCCACCTGATGGGAAACGGCTACCATCGCCAATGAACATCTACAATACGAAAGGAAGAGGAGTCCTGCTCAAGAATCGATAATCGTTGAAGCAGACGTGTCTTAACGTGGAGACAGCAAATCTGCAAGCGTAGTGTGGGACAATCTGCAGCTAGAGGGGGGAAAGGGATTGTTAGGAATGGAGATTGACACCCCTATTGTTAGCAATATACCCTATTAGGTCGACCTTCACGTGGTTCCCCCTGGAAACCATCGTGAACAATTCTTATTGAATTCGTCACGATGGTCTAACTGACTTGCTTCATCCTCATCTATCATCCTTCACTGGTGCCCCGCCGGTGTATACCAATAGCGCGGGTGGGGTTACCATTCCGTTATCACTCATTAAAAAAAAACCTGCAACTAGATGGAGCGACGACGTAGAATTGCAGGTAATAACTAGAAGCGAAGTGCCAGAGATTGTACTCAATGGACATGTCTTAGTGGAGGCTTATGTCCACCAGTGGACGGCAAAAGGCTAATTGTAATATTTTTTTATAGCTAAGAAATGACCTTACAAACATAGGATGGTAGCCGGTTACCGTGGTTACATTACGTACATTACTATTACAAATAACTTTTTATGTGAAAAGTAGTAAAAATTAAACCCCTCCCTATCTGATAAATGGTTGACCGGGGAGAAAGGCATTGTTAGTAATGAGGTCTAAAAGCCCCATTCCTGGCAATATATAGGGTATATTATCAGGTCGACCTCCACGCGACTCCTCCTAGAAACCATCGTGGTTAATTCTTGTTGATTTCCTCACGATGGGTCAACTGATCTGCTTTCATCTTCACCTATCATGCCTCACTGGTGTTCCGCTAGCGTATACCGATAGCACGAGCCGGTATCCCGCCATACGCAATGCGCCATTCCGCTTTCACCATTAAAAAAAATAAGTAATTGACTTGTTAGATAGGTAGGACTTAGGACTATTTGTATGTTTATTATCTCTTGTCACTATGAGCGCTCAACCAAGCTAATAAATGATATTAATCCATAACACAGACTTTATAATACTTTATTATATACAGAATTCATAACAGAAATTTTAGTTCCTATATCGTTCTAGAGAGGCAGCGCCAACAGTTGCAAACGAATCAGTTATAAAATCAATCGCTTTTAAACAATATAATAGGTAATTGTAATCTTACTCCCTATAACAACATACAATTAATCAAAATTGCACGACATTTATTGTCAGTCTTCATTTTTGATGTTCTGTATGCATGTATACTAATGCATACATATATTTAAAAAAAAACAATTCGCTACAATAATTTACCCTTTATTAAGTTAATAGATTTTTTTTTCTATTTTTTTTTTTTATTCATTTATGAATAGTAAATTCCGTACAAGAAAATATAATATCAAGATTACTGTATTTTATATTCGAGTCAACAACAAATTACTTGCATTTTGAAAGCAAATAAAAATCATAAAAAAACCTAGCCTTCTAATCATTTTATTAATTTAGTTTCCTCAAAAAAACTATAACATCAACTATATGTGTTTATCGAAGTTGGCAACACTGACTATGTCAATTTATATCTGTATTCAAAGCCGTAAAACATATTTCTTTATCAATTGTCAATATTCATTTTACATGCTGCACATCACTAGGAATAAAAAACATTTGTATGATATCTATGTAATCAGTTTATTTAATTTGTAAATTTTACAATATGAAGTATAGAATAAAAAGTATGAATAACATAATAACTTTCGATCGTAATATTTTAAACAGAGACATATTATAAATAATTATACAACACTATGAATTGTTTTTATTGAATTGTTACTATTAGGTGGTTGCATAGAATTACTTATATATACAATTGTATTAACATAAAGGTAACACCGACTCTTTATAACTTAGTTATGAACTCTCATTATTTTAATTCATTTTTAATTACCACATTCTTTGACTAAATGTTTATTCCTATAATACGGTGATGATTTTTATATTATAATTTTATTACACAGATTTTATTTTTCAATAAGTTACCCGTGTAAGTAGAACAAATGTCTTTTAATACCAAAGACGTAGTCCTCAAAGAGGACAGACCAAAAACACTGCTTTTACAAAAGCATTCAGACTACCTCGCAGGGTATGGATTAAACAAAGACGATTACGAGTACTGTATGACAGAACATATACGAATGTCCGGAATTTACTGGAGTCTAACAGCTATGGAACTTATGGACCAAACTTCAAGGTATGTACAATTTAAGTACTTACTATATAAACTTCTATAAAACCATTTCTAAGAAACTACTCAGTCAACTAATAACCACGTGGTACAAGAACCACTGACCATTTTATCTAACCAGAATCAAAAATGTATAAATATATTTTTATGTGGGTATTTAAATAATATATCTATATACAATCTTTGAGATATTTTTCAAAGGCTGTTTGAACTTCGGCTTGGAATAAAATACAAATAGAAGAAACTCATAGAACTGGAAAAGTGGGCAGCGGTGTTTCCTATAAAATTAAACTATTAATTTACTGCAGGTACCAACTTTCTTGTCAAATAAATAATACCCGATCCTTAATCAGCAGCATATAAAGATGACTTTATGAATTATTTTAACAACTGAGTTACTAATACTGCTGCAGTTTTCATTATGAAAATCAAGTCATTAATAAATTGTTTGCTTGTTTTCAGAATGCCAAAAAGTGAAATAATAGAATTCATTACATCTTGTCAAGACACGGAGAGTGGGGGTATATCTGCTAGTATTGGGCATGACCCACACATGCTGTACACTTTGAGTGCTGTGCAGGTTAGTCTCTAGATTAAAAAAACCTTAACTCAATGTAATGCATAAAAAATGAATATAATATAATAAGTAAATGAACATTAGTTTTAAAAACAATATTTTTTTTTTATTTGATGCTCTAAAATACTGAAAATATTAAATCATGACACCTTTGATTTTATTCCGTATTGGAATTTTAATTTATTTTTCATTTTAGTTTTTATTATTAGATACAATATAAACATTATTTTTTACAGGTATTAGCAATGTATGACAGAATGGATGCAGTGGATGTGGATGGAATTGTCCGATTTGTTACATCGCTGCAACAGCCGGATGGCAGCTTCTTTGGTATCTTAATTTTTCTTTTAAAAATAACAGATTCTATATTTTTGAAAATGCCATATAAATTTTGATTTATAAATAATATTTTCCTAACACAGGTGATAAATGGGGAGAAGTGGATACACGATTCTCCTTCTGTGCTGTGATGTGTCTGTCATTACTGCAAAAACTGGAAGCCATTAATGTCAACAAAGCAGTTGACTTTGTGCTCAGTTGTATGAATTTTGATGGTGGTTTTGGATCTAAACCGGGATCGGAAAGTCATGCAGGTCTGTAAATTCTTGATACTTTTAATATATATAGAACTACAATCACTATATTGTAGACTAGTGTAGTATTCATATATTATAATAGCTTTAATAGGCAAATATTTTGATATTTTTGATTACATTATTGTTCTTAAATCTCTATTTTATTTTAATTAATATATAGCCCGTCTAGTAATATAGGCTATATATTATATGATATATTCGCCATGTGGTCCTGACAGAAAAAAGGCCATCCTTTACCATGGGTGTTGCAAGAGGCGACTAAGGAAACTTAGTGGTCAAGGGATGGGCAGTAGCATCTCTTTTAAAAAAACATCTCCAAGGCCTAACTACTGTACTAGTATTGTTGCTACATATACAGTAAGAATACAGTTTGCACTCTCTATGTTGTTACTCATGTCTATAAATGGGGGATTCCATTTTCCATTAGATGGGTTGCCAGGTTATATGCCATTCTAAATTATTTGAAAAAAATATCCAGGTCTGATCTACTGCTGTGTGGGCACATTGTCAATCTGCAAGAGAATGGATGCACTGCATGCTGATGAACTAGCATGGTGGCTGTGTGAACGACAGCTGCCCAGCGGTGGACTTAATGGCAGGCCTGAAAAACTGCCAGATCTTTGTTACTCATGGTATTTATTCCTTACTCATTACACTCATTTAATAAACTAACTATCTATAAAAGATATAAATTGCCCCATCACTGGTTTCTAAACTTCGAATAATATTTTACTTCAGACCGTAATCACTCTTTTTGCATACTGAAGTAAGGATTAAGATGGCACGCACCATTTCTATTGTTCGCACAGTTCTCGACAGTCATGATTGCTGATACCTGCCGCTTGGTACCTACCTGCTTACTTTACTTACTTACTGCTACCTGTTACCAACTTGGTACTATTTGGGTTCAAACTACCCTCCCAAAATAATTGTATGATTTTTTTTTGTTATAATGCATAATTTACAAATATGTGCATTTTGTGTTTATTTTATGATTATAATCAATAAGTTACATCATGTAATGTAAGTTTTTTATGTTGTGTAGATTTATAGATACTTGTATCTCTATTTTAAATGTTTGAAGGAGTGTATATTACTCGCCAAACGATTTATGGCTGATTGTAAATTCTAGGCTTACGTACACTGGAATTTATTATATTTGTAAACACTTATGATAAATAAAGAACTTTTGAAAACAACAACAATAAACTAACTGCTTGAATAAAATTTACTTTTAAAATTGTCAGGAAATAAACTAAATAAACCTGAAAAATTATATTTTGAAAAAGTAATAAAAATTAAAAAAAATTAACTTGAATTCATGTAATGAATAGTTAATATTTTTTTTTTTTAATATAAGTATGGAACTAAACTACGAGGTTTGTCCGGAAAGTACGTATAAAAGTTTTTTAAAAATTTTATTTTACAATTATTCAGGTAAATCAATTTTATCCCCTTCAAAGTACTCCCCCTGTGACATAATGCACTTGTGCCAACGCCGTTTCCACTGTGAGAAGGCTCCTTGAAAGTCCTCTGGTTGTAGGTTTCTCAGCTGCCCCGTCGTAGCTTTTTTTATCTCATTTATGTCCCCCAAATGCCGCCCCCGAAGTACCAATTTGGTTTTTGGGAACAAGAAGAAGTCACACGGGGCCAAATCCGGCGAATAGGGGTGGTGTTCGGTCACCGTAATGGAATTTTTACTCAAAAACTCACGGACAACAAGAGAGGTGTGGGCAGGGGCATTGTCGTGGTGAAGAATCCAACGCCCCTCTCGCGCCAATTCTGGACGAACTCGTGCCACACGAGCTTTGAGGCGTCTGAGCACATCGACGTAGAATTTTCCATCAACTGTCTGGCCTGGAGGGATGAATTCTTGATGGACAATCCCCCGAACATCGAAAAAAACAATCAACATTGTCTTGACATTTGAGCGGGATTTTCTTGATTTTTTTGTTCGTGGTTCCCCGGATGTCTTCCACTCTTTGCTTTGGGATTTTACTGTTCTGAGATCGGCAAAAATTTCACGGCCATTCTTGCCGAGTTTCGAGAGAAACTTGATTACGACGCGCTGCTCTTCAACGGAAGCGGGCTCCATGCCGACGGGGTTTCGTTAAGAGGTAACTTCACAGATGGCGTGACAAGCCAGTTCGCACCGCACGGCGGTCAGACCAGAACTGAAGCATTGTTAGGGACATAAGGAAGGGGTCCTGCGCTTACCTGGCCTCCCCACTCCTCTTTCTCGCATTCCAGAACACTTTTATACGAACTTTCCGGACAGACCTCGTACTTCACATTCAGAGATGAAATTTAGCATAAAAATTACAAAAGTAATATAGATTATTTACTGAAAACAAACTAAACTTCCCTATATTTTTTCAGGTGGGTTATGTCTTCACTTTCAATGCTAAATAGGATACACTGGGTAGATAAAAATAGTTTAGAAGAATTCATCTTAGCATGCCAGGACGCTGAGACTGGCGGCTTCAGTGACCGACCTGGCGATATTCCGGATCCATTTCATACACTCTTCGGTTTAGCTGGACTGTCTCTGTTAGGAAATAGTAGCATAAAATTAGTTAATCCAACCTATTGTATGCCTCAAGAGACTATTGACAGACTCAAATTAGAACCCCAAGTATTGCATGTTTAATTTACACAGTATTTATTTATGACATCACTTTATATATAATTTCAATTGACATTAAAATAAAATTATGTAAGTTTTAAAATGTTTTTTTTAATCGTACCCCATATAAGTCATTCCACTATACCAATTTAAATTAAATCATGAACAAAGACTAAATATGGTCATCTAAACTGAAAATCTTGATTTTTATTTAAATCAAATTCTTATTTTTATTTTAATTGGCTAATATTTATTACCCCATATTCTCTATTCTATACTAGAATATTTTATACTATATTGGACGTTTAAATATCAACCCCTGACTCATAACAACGTCAAAACTCTCATAAGATCGTTTTAGCCATTGAACTGTTTTATCTCTTTGGTACTAAATTCCTAATTTGTTAAAAAGTGAAAATAGTTAAGGTTTATAGGAAGTTTTAGTTTTTATGAACAGGTACGAAAGGTAATTGTTATTTATTACTGATAAAATTATTAGATATAGCTGTGTGTATATACTTCCTTTACCTTAATGCATATTAAAAAAAACAATTTGTAAACATAACCTAAAAATTTTCTTTGACATTCAATTTTTGACATTATCTTGTATTCTCATATTATTTTTCATTTTTATTGTAATTCGATGAATTTCTTCATGTTATTTTTACCAATACAACAGCAAAAAAATGATAGTACTACATTATTTACAATTTATTATCCTAAGCATATGCATTAATTCATTCACTTTATATATTTATCTTGTTTACTACACTGATCTTTTCTCGTCTGCGTTATTTCAAGACATCGAACCAGAATACGACTTTATTATTGGTATTATTAATTTAATACTTCTATACTAATTTTTATTTTCTTAATTTTACAAATTGCGTACCACTATCATAAAATACACTTATCTACACCCGATGCCATTTTTTATACCAATCCTAGAGGATAAAATATTTAATAATAACGATATATAATATAAAATGTGTTGTCCTCAAAATACTTCATCACAAGCTCAGATTTAATTTTGAAGTGGAGAAACAATTTTTTACTAAAATACTTCTTACCTTTGTTATTGTTTTTAGTCCTTCTAAGTACCTAATTTAGTTTTTAAGGTTAAAGATTATGAAAATATTTGTATGTATGTTTTTGTAGATATGTCTCATTGTATAAATCTGGTCCTGGTTTTGATTCTCGATTGAGTCAGTTTAGAGAATAACACATTTAAATTAACTCAGATCTGGGTATCTTAGGTTGTGCCCTCAGATGTTAATTGATTAGTTTCTAATCAGAGAAGATATTTCAATTTAAACTACTGATGTGATTTTGTGCCATATATTCTCAAAAATTATCTCATCAGTATGGCTTAACACACCTTTGGGCATATATGGGAGGTATATACCCAATGGTATATACCTAACATAGTTTGTTATCTGTTGTTGCTATAAGTTCTCTCCGATTATTATTAATAACTAGTGATGGGGCCTGGCTTCACACAGAATCATTGAATTTTCGAATATAATATATAACATTTTAAAAATATTAAAATAGGTTAAGCAGTGTTTGAGTTTTTTTTATCAATCACACACATATAAATAATCATTTAAAACTTTCTTATTTATAATATTAGTATAGATTGCTTAAATATGTTCTTAGTTGGCTCTGGGACTGCAGGCTCAGTCATAGCACACAGAATAGCAACAGAAACGAATTACACTTTCATTGTACTTGAAGCGGGGGCCAAAGGGAATGTGTTATTTGAAATACCTGTACTTGGACCCCTTTTGCATGGGTCCATTTATGATTGGCAGTATGAGACTGTGCCACAGGAAAATGCATGCTATGCTTTTAACAGTAAGGTATGATGTCCATTTTCATTTAATAATCTCTAAAGTATTATTATGTCTATAATTATTTTCAATTAATAAATGGTGTCACAATTATTTTTAATTTAATACCTACACAATAATGAAATTTTTCATTTCTTTTTTACACAAAATTTAATGTATGTGAAACTTGTGAATCCATATGTGTATGTGGTTTTAAATAGACAAAAGTCTGAAATAATTTTCTTATTAACTGCACTGAAAATATACTTCTTAATAATCAGAACTAAAAATTAACAGTCTTTTATTTATATTTTTTTATTTTATATTTTTCAGAAATGCAAATTGTTCCAAGGAAAAATTATTGGAGGCTCATCGAAACTCAACAACATGGTTCATGTAAGAGGCAATATATCACATTATGTTGATTGGTTCCATGGAAAGTTCAGTCATGCATTTTTCCAAAAACAATTTGAGTTTATTGAAAATAACATTTTGAATATAGATGAGATACAGTATCAAAGTGAAATGACCAATGCTGTGTTAGAAGCAGCTAAAAAATTAGGATATAATGAAATAGATTTAGAAAGTGCAAACGGTTTTAAAAGAAGTAAGGTCTCTCAAAAACATGGCGGAAGATGGTCCTCCTCTGACAATTTAGATATGAAACATATTGTGACTAATGTTTTAGTTGAAAAAGTTTTAGTAAAAGAAAATGTAGCTTATGGGGTGGAACTTTTAAAATCAAATAGAAAAATGGAAGTGTTTGCCAGAAAAGGTGTAATCTTATCAAGTGGAACATACAACACACCTAAATTACTTCAGCTTTCAGGAATTGGTCCTTCAGAATTACTGAAATCATTGGACATTCCAATTATAGTTGATTTACCTGTTGGTAAAAATTTACAGGATCATGTAACAACAGGACTAGATTTAATATTATTTAATAAATCACTTTCTGTAAGCATAGACAACATGCTGAACTTATTTCATGCAGCAAATTACTTTATTAATGGCAAAGGGCCATTTACAACGCCAGGTTGTGAAGTAGTTGGTTTCATGTCAACAACAAATGCAGAAACTCCTGATTTGCAGTTCATGGTGTTGCCAGTCGGAATATCATCAGATAAGGGTAGCCATTTCAAAAAAAGTTTAAGCGTTAATGAAACAGTATGGAACAACTATTTTGCTAAAACCTATGATTGGCATACGGCTACTATTTTACCAATAGTATTACATCCAAAGAGCAAAGGGCAAGTTTTAATACAGAGTAAAGACCCCAAAGATGCTCCGTTGATTGATCCAAAATATTTATCAGTTAAAGATGATATAGTCACACTAATTAGAGGCTTAAAACTAGTAAAACAATTCATTGAAACAGATGCCATGAGGAATCTTGGTGCATCTATAAATCAAATGCCATTTCCTGGGTGCCATAATTATGAAATATTCTCAGACAAGTATTGGGAATGTTATATCAAACAATTGACTTTAACAAGTTACCATCCAGTTGGTACATGTTTTATGGGGTTACCATATGCAAATACTACTGTTGTTGATACATCATTTAAAGTTGTTGGACTGGAAAAATTATTTGTAGCCGATGGTTCAGTGTTGCCAACATTACCAAATGGAAATATAAATGCAGCTATAGCAATGATGGCTAGTATATTTTTTGATATAAACATTAAAACAAAGACTGACGCAAAGCTTAGTAGAACAAATATTTGTAGTAAATATGAGTTTATACATGAACTTGTACATAGCATATGTGTTTTGTAATAAAACTGTGATATTATTAATGATAATAATGTTGTGATTGTTTGTTTGGAACATTAGCTGAACTTCGATCGATCGAGTATTTTACGATCAACACGATCCATGGCCGTAGATAGTGGTGGGGGGGGGGGGATCATTGAGTGGCAATGCCCTATCTTAAAAGGCCCAATGCCCTACCGTAAAATAAAAGACCCCAAAAAAATTAGATTCGCTTTTTCGAAATCAGTTAATTATGACTAACTAACTAACCTGCATTCTCACCTATCATCTTCCACTGGTGCCTCGTCGGTGTATACCGATAGCGTGGGCGGGGTTACCAATCCATTTTTACCCATTAAAAAAAATATATATACATTCCCCATTAGGTTGCCGGGAAGTGGGATTGCCAGTAGTTGCCACGCTTGTATACATAATAATTGCATGCGATACAAATTTAAATAAAACGGTTATTTATGTTTAAAACTTTATTGAAAGTAGTAAGGACACTTCTAAAACATGAAATTGCGTACAAGACACTTTGAGCCTCGTTACCGAAACAACCATTATGTAAGATAAATTATCTACATTTCATGAAAATTCTTATATTAATTAGTACTATACTCTTAATTTAAATTGTAGCTGTTCTATGACAAATACGTACTATTGGTATATACAAATAAAATTAGGTATTAAAATGTCATTCAAATGTTACCTGTCTGTATAAATTTAAAAAATTACACGTATTTGAGTGATTATAAATAGCTGTATACCTACTCACGATAGCTTCATATAGTACCAATTAGTACTTTATCCCGAACATTTAAAGAATATTTTTCATCCATCTAATAGATATTAAAAAAGATCCATTCTGTATCTTTGGATACTTTTTACTTGTTCCTTCAAAAGCTTACAGTATTGAACTTACTATAAACACAAACAAATATTATCAATGCATTTTTTAGTTCAATCTGACCTCACTAAATTGTATGCCCTGCATTATAAGTTTTCTAGTAACATCTACTCAATCGTATCGTAAATCACTAGGACATGAACCGACTAACCTCTGTAAAAAGTAATCTTAAATAATAAATTAATGCCACATAAGGCAGTGAGGTTGTGTATTGCATGATGCACCTTTGTAGGTACCACTGTCTTACCCAAGACTATTGAGGGAGTGTGGAAAACATAGGCAAGAGAACACATTAAGAACGCTTTGAAAGCAGAGATAACCAGTAGCTTATGTGATAAAACTAAAGTTGCCACTAGTTTAGTTTAGTTTAGAAATTATATATATATATATATATATATATATATATAATAAATTAGTATATAAGCAAATACAAGCGACAGTACAGGTAATATAAAAATGACATTTCAGGAAAGAAATCACCTATTTAATCAATGAAGTACCTACAAGTGAATTCGAAATCGTTAGCATTGTTTAAAAAGATAGTTCTTGCACTGAAACTAAATATATTTTAAACAGACGTGCCATCTAAACAAATTACAAACAAATCTAGTGATGGAATCGTTACCGTTAACGAATCCATGTGATAAAATGAGACAGAAACGTGCGCTGTCTTGTTCTTTCTAAACTATTGTATTGATAGATTCGTTTATACCTTGTTTAGGGGAACTAGTTCGAAAAAAGACAATAAATTGCATGCCTTTTATACGTACTAGATATAGCTGTACATAATTTAAAAAAAATAAAAATATGAAAATTAAAAATTTTAATTTCGATTTCACCTGTATAATACTCGTAATATTACTTTTGTTTGCATTTAAAATATTTTGAATTTAAAGTAAAAAGTTTACGCTAAGGAACCAAATACAATTTCACTGCGTTTACGTATTAAATAATAATAAATAAAAGCAATCATTAAAAATAAATTCTTAATTCTAGCACATTTATTGCAAATGCAAATGACTAGACACATACTTAGGTAATTCCATTAAATTTAGATATTGATTAATTAATTTATTACTCTCGATGAGTTTGATTTATATAAATACAAATTAAATTGAAGTCACTTAAATTGTTCACCATTTATTTATCACTGACTTTAGTATACAGATTTACGTATATTTCAATCTTTACGAAAATGTTACTTAATTTTTTTTTTTTTTTTTTTGTTATAAATAGGTATAGCTAATAACTCAGTAGACAGATAATTATTTCATTTCGTTTTGTCAACATGTTATGTATCTATTAGAAATTAGACCATTGATCGAACTTGAGACTTATCACCAGAATCCTACTACTTTTAAATCTAACAAGGTTGGTACAAGAAGTAAAAACAATTGGTAATATAACATAAAACTGAATTTTGTAAATAGATACATACTTACAAGGGAATAGCTATGTTCTATAGAAAGACCTGCTTTCCATTGCGAATGACAGTCAGGCAAGAAAACTAGTAATATGCCCACTGCAATAAAAAAAAAAAAAACAAAAATTGGGTTGATAATGCACGAAATTGGAAACTTTACAAGAAATAATAATAGTCTTCTATTTGTAACCTTGAACCGTTTCGAATCGCGCTCCCATTTTGCTAAAATCCTCTAAGTCCATGGTTCAAATCTATTTTCTCATATATTTTCGTTACTTGTTGCAATAGGCATGCGTGCAATAGCGTAAACATACCTATTCATGGATTAATTTACCACTTGCCTAGGAGAGCTGATGATAAAAGGAAAACTCGAAAGTAATATAAAATAATGAATTTGAGTTAATTACCTATTTAGGATCTGATTATTATATAAGTATACATAGAAAACGGATAAATCCCTATAATTGTCGTCTCAAATTTATTAAAACATGAACTTGCAAATCTCGTGAGACTTATCAGAAAAAAAAAATTTTGCGTATAATCATTTAAGACACTCGTGGACGGAAGAATATGTAATTTAACTATAATTATTCTAATTTATATATATATATATATATATATATATATATATATATATATATATATATATATATATATATATATATATATATATATATTATATTTTAATGCTATTCGAATAATAAAAAAAAAGAAATTATTGCGATTTGTGCAAAAATATAATATAATCGCGACTCTCTCACACCAACTAAATATTTTAATAAAAATCTAAAAAATATAATACTATTAAATTCCATTATACAATACACTATGTGCTGAGCAAAAATTTTAATGCAGCAACTGCATACAATAATACTGGACGGACGTCTGATATAGCTCGATGTTTCACTAACGATAATATTAAAAAATATTGCCACACTTATTTAAAATACTTATCCAATAAATATTTTGTAGGTACGTTATAATACTGAGCGGTAAACTTGTCATATATACAACAATATTAATACCTAAAAAAAAAATATTTGAATTCAAACATAATAGAAACCATCTAATGCTGTCTAATGGTCATTGACCTCTATCCAAAAAATCGTACCGAAGTGGTTCAAAAATCTGTATTCAATGTCAAAACATTTTACTTATTATTATATTGCCGCTTATATAATTAAATAGGAATAATTATTAAAATTAAAGTCTCTAATAATATAAATAAATTAGAAACGTAGATTCATACTAACCGTTATGATTTTAAATTCAAACTAGGAATGCGTACAATTGACGCAGTTCTAAAATTTTACCACATTTGTCAAAACACTTATTATATTTATTTTGACGCCAAAAGAACCATAATTCTTTAATTAATTTTTATGACCGAATCCAAAAATCGTTGCATGTAAATAAATTTTTGTGTATATAGGTATATTATTATGTTTTTATTAAGATTTTAAACTGAGCTTTCCATGTTGAGCAAGTTACATTTGAAAAATGAGGCTGGCAGTATTATATACTCTTTCCCTCATTATTTATAATTATTATATTTTATAAGCTCTGGGAACTGTTAATTCTTAATAAAAATTGTGCAAATCATCTATGTACTACATATAAAGACAATATTAACGTAAAAATTTAAGTTTAAGACTTACCTTTATTCTTTCGCTTAAGCCTTTTGACTAGATATATATTAATACCTATAATATTTAGGTAGATATGTATATTGAAAATAATAATTTAATAGTACAAATCTAAAAAGTCCATCTACCAATGTCACACCATCAATAAATATGATATTATCTATATTTCTTTGAAACAGGTAAGAACCTACTCTTTATCAACTTGAGTTTGCGCCAAACACAACTGTATGTAATAAGTATTAAATCACAATCTTACGTGAAACACGAATCCAGATAGTTATCAAGCATGTCCAGTTGCAGGTCATCCCAATCGGTGTGATTTAGCAGTAATGATGTGATGTCATCTTCTGGAATCAGTGGCGGTGGAGCTACAGGTTCAACAATCACGTTTGCACCTATATTGGTTTCTAAATCTATATCGGGTATCGACTGTATGCCTCCTAGTGTGAATTCAGGCAGATGTAAAGTGACTACATTATCAATATCCGTAGCCATTTCTTCAACCACTTCCACTGATTCCACTCTTGGAATATTAGCAACGGCTACTTTCTCTTCAGACATTTTAACCTCTTTCGTTTCTCCCGCTGTAGTGTTTTTCTTTTTCTTATGCGGCCTATTCGAAATGCGTTTCGTGCCTTCTAAATGTGCGAGGTCCAGTTTCCAAAACCCACCTTTCCCCGGTTCGTGTTTAGAACGAGCCACTTTCACAAATACTTTGTTCAATGATAAATTGTGCCGTATTGAATTCTGTAATAAAATCAGGCTTCGTTAACCTTTTTATTGTATCGTAGTTCAACTAAATATCTATGTATTATACATTTTATAACTGAGAGAAATGATAATAATTAAGATTTTATTTTACAAAAAAAAAACACCAACTTTAATCGTGGAGTTATGATGTAACAAACATAAAAAATACAAAAATACAACTGAATTAAGAACCTTTTTCTTTTTGAAATCTGTTGAAAATATTAAATATTACAATATTTTTGTAAAAAAAAATACTAATATCATAATTAAAATCTTATACTCATATACCTTGCGGACAACTATAAATGAACGAATCGCTATTTACCGAATAGATACGGTGAATATTAAAGATATTATGATAATTAAAGATTAAAAATATGCACCAAAAACTATATAATATATGAGCCGACAGGACAATAAATAAAAAAAAAAGAAACATCAAAATGGTGTCCTTTGACAACAACAAAAAAAATATTCGTTTTGTACGTCTCCTAAAATAGAGATATCTGGATTAGTTTCCAAATTATGCAAAATATGCAATATTTAATCCCAGACACTCGAATAATCTAATCCCTATAGCCAATTAGATTTAATCTTATCTACGAGCACTGATGATTCGCCGTTTATTAAATCAGTAGGGGTTTCCTGCTCACTACCGTATCACATAATAATATAGATAACGCTTACCTGCCAGGTGGGATCGGCGTTCCTATAATACTTGAAATTCTCCCGAATCCAAGAATATATAGCTGATAGAGTCATCTTGTCATTGTTATACCTCATTGCCATACAGATCAATGTGCTGTACGAATATGGAGGCTTCTTCTCACTGTTCGATTGATATTCTTCTTTGTTCTCCATGAAGTCCTTCTGGCATTTGGCTATTGTTTGATTGAATTTTTGCAGTCTAGTGTTTTGGGGTTGCGTTTTCACTGGAGGATTTGGGGACATTGGAGATATGGGAAACTGCGGCACCGCCATTATGTTCGTTATATTTTGAAGCCATGTTAAATTAGTCAAATCTGTTTCTGTGTCGTCTACAGAAAGGTTTTCAGGCTTGTGTTTAGTGCGTATTTTCTTGGATAAACGGTCTCGCTGGTCATCACCTGACTTTGATGAAGTTACTAATTGGGCTTCATTTATATTCGAGTCTTCTACATCATTCTGAGAATAACTTTCCGGTTGTTCATATATATATTCAATCTCGACTGTATGGGAAGATTCTGGTACTGCATGATCCACAGCGAAATATGCAGTGCCACACTGGTCTCCCGCGTCTCCATAAAAACCCATTGATGTGTCCAGCATTTCGCCGGACGCCGGCGACAGGCCTGATGTTATGTGCATTGTGACGAACTACATAGCTTGCGGCTCCTGAAACGAATGCGACATACAAAATGATGAGTCATGTCGTAAATGAATCAGCACATTTGTTCCAAGACGTCATATTTTCTTGAAACCCCCTTATTTGTTTTTAAAACTGTAGTGGAAACTGGCAGAGGTTTACAAGTGTTTTCAGATATGATGGTCTAGATACCTGATGATAGAAGATGCTGCCGACTGTGACCGTCCAAGATGCCGGACGGCAATCGATCGGCGACGGCGCGAGGCCGGTGTGACGTCGCGACGGTCAGCGTCCCCCCGCGCCGCCCATGGTCGGATCGAATTCGCGGAGCGCCTGGTCGGTGTGGTGCGTATGTGCGCGCGTTGCGACTGCGAGCGCGGTAGTGGGCAGGTGCGAGCCCCACGACTCATTGTTCGGAACAGGTGTGTGGCGGGCGATCGATATTTTTCCGCCCGCAAGACCGCGGCTGGCCCGCATCGACGATAGCTCCGGACAATTAGTTACGGTTATCGAGTGTGTAGCCGCCTTATCAACTTACTCAAGCATAGGAGACGCTATGGCAGTGCGGGTACTTCCTCTATGCATAGGTTACTTATAAGTACCTACAGATATTTGGAACCATCTCTCTTTCAATATTTATAACGACGAATTATCACGCACCAATGGTTCCTCATGTTGTAAGCATTCAAGAAAAAATTGTTTTTAGATTCTCCAAAAGGTGCTTGCAAAAGATGCTGGTAAAGACAAAGTAGTTTCCTTCTAGTTATGTCGATCTGTTCTGACTGACAAATCAATATTATCCGATTTGAACTGAACCAATGTGTATCCATGATATCTAATATGAAAATAGACAAAGCAATAAATGTGTGTAAGGATACAAAACTTTACGTAGTGTAAAGTTCCTCCCTGTTTGCTTACGTCGTACAAAGGCCTAATATGAACATACTCATAGATATATTTTATTTCGACTTAATCTTAGATGGTGTAATCCAAAATAACTACAATAAACCCTATCAAGTCGACCTTCTTACGGTTTACCCCTGGAAACCATTATGTGTGAATTATTGTTAAATTTGTCTTGATGGGCTAACTGACCTGCTTCATCTTCACCTATAATCCCTCACTGGTGCCCCGCTAGTGTATACCGTAGGCGGGATTATAATTCCATTATTATTCATTAAAAAAAATAACTCGAAATAACTTGATTTGTTAAAGCTGTTCACCATCACCGGAGAATTGTCGAAAATTTACCTAAATACATATTCTGATATCCGTCGGATTTCTTGTTGATTAAGTAAATTTGCTTACTCTATAAAAGTGTTCATACAACTTATGAGAATATGATGCCTGATAGACTAGTGTTCACTGCTAAAACGTGAAAACCCTTCAATTACAAATAGACCACTCGCCGAATGTTGATATTACCACCCCATGTTTACACTGGACAAAGCTTTCAAGGTACCACCTACCCACGCTTCGTCGTTCCAATCAAAGATGAAATCTATTTCCGCATATTCGTTTTTTAAAACCGACCCAAAAAAACTAGTGTTGTAACATTTATCAAATAACTTTAAAAGCAAAGAGGATGTTCTGAATTCGGTAGTATTTTTTTTTAATTTTATTTTTTACATCAAATTTCCGTTAGTTATAAACCTATTTTGAAAATTCTTTTTTCATCTTACTTTGTTTTAGGTCTCATAGAAATTCTATCAAAATCGATTATGTAGTTTAGTTTTTAAATTAAATCAACTCAACGTTTTACTACAGTTCAAGTCGGTTTTGTTTGTGGAACAATCTTAAACAACTATATTTCTGTGTATATTAAATTATCTATCTGCATTTTTAATTAATCTGTAGCTCCCAAAGTAGGGTATAGGGGATTGTTAATAATGGATGTATTATTCCCATTGGCAGCCATTTGCCATATCAGGTTAATCTCTACGTGATTCCTTCTGGAAACTATCGTGATTGATTCCTGATAAATCCGTCATGATGGACCAACCTACCTGACTTCATACTCACCTGTCATCACTCACTGATACCCAATAAAGTAATGAAGCTGATACGGTTAATATTTCATTTATACTTATTAAAAAAAAAAAACTAGTTAACTTATTTTATTTACATTTTTTTATGGAATTAACATTGGCAAACAAGCTGACGGCCCACCGGATGGAAAATAGTAACTGTCGCCTATAGATATGAACAGTACCATGGACTTTACAGAGTATACTTTGTCGCCCATAATATCATTTCTGAGGACTAAGACATTAAACCTCTGTATCCTGTAATTTCAGTGCCATATGTCCTTCAAACCCAAACAGCGATGCTAACACAACTGTTTTACAGCAGAAACGACTTTTGTCCAAAATCTGCCTTTGATTACATTACCTATACTACCTATACGTATCTTTGATAAGTACAGTCAGCATCAAAACAGACACAACGAACTCTAGGAAGTGTAATGACCTTTATAGAAAACTATAATAACTTACAGTTTACCTAATGATCTTTTCATCATCAACAAGGGCTAAAGTTCATTGTCCTTATAATCTGTGTAGGTATGTATACTATTAAGTATCCTTACAACTAAATATCATACATTTAATAACTGATAATTAAAGTTACTCATGTTAAGAATACTCATATGTAATGACATCTTCCATTGACTTCGAGAAGTGTTTTTATAAATTATGACAATGTTAAAACAGTGTTTCGGTTTGAAGGGTGGGATATGGCGTGAATTTACTGGGTACGTAGGAATAACACGTGAGTCCTCAGGAATGGCAACGCATGGGGGATATCATGTCCATGGTACTGCTCATGTCTATAGGCGACGGTTACTACTTTCCATGAGTGGCAAAATATTATTACTAAATCCGACAAACAAGAACGTTTTTTATATCAATATATATGTATTTTTATATCAATAAATCGATTTTGTATTTGAATGTACAGCAATTAGATTTGTAACTTATAAAAGGGACAGTGCATTCGGGAGCGGGAACTCGGGACCGGGTGGTACCTATGTACACGTACCTAGTAGGTACCTGTGGTACTACACCCTCCTAGTGATGTGTAGTTTAGATAGTTTTTTCCTATTCAAATTTCGAAGGCACTCGTTTAAAAAATAATCCAATCCACATTCGAGTTTGAGGAATTGGAGAACTGGTGCACTAATTATTCGAGTATTTTTTAATTGATTATGATAAATATACGATATTTGAGTCAGTCAAGAGTTTAAGCTAACAGTCCCATTGCTAGCAATGGACCCTATCACGTCTATCTCCACGTAGTTTATTCTAGAGACTAATGGTCAATTCTAGATGTATTCGTTACCATACCAGGTCAATTGGGATCAATTGACTTAACTTTTTATTATTACTCATTGGTACCCCGTCAACATACATCGATAACGCAGGCAAAATTAAAATTCCGGAGAGAGACTATTGACTGAGCTCCCTGCTAAGATTTTCTGAAGAGACAACAGCAAGCAGGTTCTTTGAAAATGGGATAAAGAGGTTTCTACAGAGTCGGCAACGCCCGCATTACGTTTTTTTTTATACAACTTAGAATGGCAAACAAGCTGACGGCCCACCTGATGGAAAGTGGTAACCATCGCCTATAGACTTGAGCAGTACCATGGGCATAACAGAGTATACTGTTTCCTCCATGATACCCCCCATGCGTTGCCATTCCTGAGGACTCAGGTGTTATTCCTCTGTACCCAGTAAATTTACGTCATATCCCACCCTTCAACCCGAGACTTTGTACAAAAGTCGATTGCTTGGATAGAGGTATCCAAGCAATCGACTTTTGTACAAAGTCTCCTTCTGGTCCCTAGTATTTCAAGCGTTCTCGAGCTACAATAATCACTTACCATTTGGTGGGCTGTGTGTATGTTTGCCACCTCAGTAGTATATAAAAAAAAACTCGAATTAACTTTACTGAGCACATCACTACTCCAGCCAACCGTTGTCATTATGCTATACGCCACGCGACAGGGGTGCAACGCGAGAATATTTTATCGTTTTTACCAACTGCCGCCCCGCCGATAGAATCGGTGATTTTTCGAGAAGAAAAAAACATGAAATAATATGTCTAATTTTATGGCTTAAGATTGGAATACAATCTGTTATCTTATACCACAGCTAACGACAAACAAATTGATGGAAAATGATATGGTAAAATTTTAAACATTAATATTACATTAATGAGTAGGGATACATATTTTACATTATTACTTGTACATGTATCATATCTCTATATTGGGAGATAATGGAATTTTATCGTGCCTCCGATCGAACTGTTTATAATTACTCCTCTCTATCCAAAGGTTGCCTGGAATAGATCGCTTTTAGCGATAAGGTCGCCTATTGTTTTCTCATTGTGATTATTTCTTGTAATTGTTTGTATCTATAATAAGTTTACTATTGTAATCTTTTGGAGGAAACAATAAAGAGTATCTGTCTATCTAATATTTATTAATATTTTCAACCAACTTCAAAAATTGAGGACGTTTTCATTACCAATATCTGGCTCAAATCTCTTTTCGTAGCCACATGTTTAATGTGCACAGGTGTTAGTCCAATCCGATATTTATTTTTAGTACAGAAAATGTATATTAGGCGGGCTTAATGCTGAAAGCATTATCTCCCAATCAAGTCGATTAGATTTCCAGATTAGTGCCAGTTGGCATTTTGCAGAATTCCATATCACTGGTTATTTGATTAAAATTGTTTTATTTAAATCCGCTACCATTAGTTATGTGTGTGACTGCCAGCACTTGAAGTTTGACTACTATTATTATTACCAAAAGTTTTACAACCTTCCATATTAGCCATCAATCTCCGACTGCCGTTTCGTCCATGCACGTTTTGTGACACATCTTTCACCTATAGACGTTTACAAGGGCCATTGCACGCAAGTATCCCACCCTAAAGAATCCACTATCTATTTTTTGATGATCCTCATACTGTAGTCCTTTGGGATAATCTCGGTAGAAGCTTATTTCATAATCCGAGTTAACGTGGAAAGAAGTAGAGTAGGTAATGCCCCGCTTTACGCAAGGGATCCGGGTTCCGGAAAAAATCGCATTAACTGAAATTCGCTTATATCGAGGTATGATTAAACTTATGTTTTTTTTTTTTTTTTATACAACTTAGAATGGCAAACAAGCTGACGGCCCACCTGATGGAAAGTGGTAACCGTCGCCTATAGACATGAGCAGTACCATGGACATAACAGAGTATACTGTTTCGCCCATGATACCCCCATGCGTTGCCATTTCTGAGGACTCAGGTGTTATTTCTCTGTACCCAGTAAATTCACGCCATATCACAGCCTTCAAACCGAAACACAGCCATGCAAACACAACTGCTTCACGGTTGAAACACGAATGGGACAGAGGTACTCAAGCAATCAACTTTTGTACAAAGTCTCCCTTTGGTGCTATATATATGCCAACACTCATTTTACGATCTGAATCAAGTTTACCAGATTTGATTATTAGAAATAACCATTATGATAATATAATTACTTTAATGTCAAAACAACCTAGAAAGTGACATATGACGCATGTAAAAACACGTGTAACGAGACGACATGACACCTACGCGGACGTCCGACTTGACCACCCCTCGGCCCTTGAAGCACCAATATAAATTTTCCACTTCACAAACACTTTATCCTAATTAATCAGTGGAACAATTGGCCAAGCGCCCTCATCGGAAGCGTCACTTGCAGTCCGCTTAGGGTTGCCACCTATCAAATCAACGACTTGAACAATCTTATATACTTCCCAATCTTAATATTTGGGGGGAAAGGAACTTTTTCATTCTCACCTATCACCTCTCACTGACGCTCCATCTGCGTATACCTTTTTCTTTTGGTGGATAAAAATAGTATGGTAACCCGGCCTGGGCTAACGGGATACGCTGGCGGAGCACCAGTGAAGGGTGATAGATGAGAATGAAAACAGGCCAGTTAGTCCATCATGATGAATTCATCAGGAATTAACCATGATAGTTTCCAGGGGGAACCGCGAGGAGGTCGACCTGGTTGGGTATATTGCTAGAAATGGGATTCTAAGTCGACATTACTAACAATCCCTTTCCCCCCTGTAGATGGGGTTACCAGTCCATTATTACCCATTAACAAAAATCTATCAACACCATTATTCATTACGCATTACTTCGTTCCGGCTGTTTGTGATATTATATAATCTTCGAAAAAACAGAATTTCACTGCCATTTCAAACCGAAATAGGTGCCAGCAAATTAGTTGGCGGGAAAAATAGGCTACACTAAGAAAATCAGAGGGAGACTTTGTACAAAAGACGATTGCTTGGGTACCTCTATCCCATTCGTGTTTCAACCGTGAAGCAGTTGTGTTTGCATAGTTGTGTTTCGATTTGAAAGGTGGGATATGACGTGAATTTACTGGGTACAGAGGAATAACAACTGAGTCCTCAAGAATGGCAAAGCATGGTGGGTATCTTGGGCGAAACAGTATACTCTGTTATGTCCATGGTACTGCTCATGTCTACCATATAGGCGACGGTTACCACTTTCCATCAGGTGGACCGTCAGCTTGTTTGCCATTCTAAGTTGTATTAAAAAAAATCAACGGAAACAAAAAAACAGACCGGGTGGCAACCCTACGTCTATTCGGTGTTCCGATATTTGCCGCGCACATGTCGGCGTACACCTGTCGACAAACACTGCACCCTACAACTGTTGCCCAATGGGTTGGACACTGTTGTTTTTATTGGTCATTAGGGAATAAGCTATTTGTATAAAACGGTTCTTGATTTGAACGATATGATGTATTTATATATCTAATATATAAAATTCTCGTGTCACGGTGTTTGTTACCAAACGCCTCCGAAACTACTTTAACGATTTTTATGAAATTTTGTGTGCGTATTGGGTAGGTCTGAGAATCGGCCAACATCTATTTTTCGTACCCCTCAATGATAAGGGTGACCCCCCAAAAATTATTTTTTTTATTTATTCACCGTTTTACGATCAACACCTGTTTTTTAATCGCTATTTTTATATGCTGCAATAGGGTTGCAAGATGGCAATCCAATATAATAATTGTAGTACGATAAATTTTCATGTATAGTTCTAGAATGTATATATATATATAGTATGTGTCTAATGTATATGGTAAAACAACGTTTGCCGAGTCAGCTAGTCTAATATATAAAATTCTCGTGTCACGGTGTTTGTTACCAAACACCTCCGAAACGACTTTACCGATTTTTATGAAATTTTGTGTGCGTATTGGGTAGGTCTGAGAATCGGCCAACATCTATTTTTCATACCCCTCAATAATAAGCGTGACCTACATCTAAATATTATTTATTTTGTTGACAAAATTTTTTGTTTTTATTATGATTTAGCATTGAAAAATACATACAACCTCAAATTTTCACCGTTTTACGATTAACCCCTGTTTTTTAATCGCGATTTTTATATGCCTCTATAGGGTTGCAAAATGACAATCGAATATAATAATTGTAGTACGATAAATTTTCATGTATAGTTCTAGAAATAATGTATATGGTAAAACAACGTTTGCCGAGTCAGCTAGTTTTTAAATATATTTTGAAGGTATTGCGACCAACGGTTTAATAGTTTGTATTATTATTATTTCAGCCATTAACTGTCCACTGCTGGACAAGCCTATCCCATAAGGGGAGTTTTTGCCAGTAGTTGCCACGCTTGGCAGGCGGGTTGACAACCGCAGTTAAGCTTAGTATGTATAAGTGTAGTAAATTATCCAAGTACTTTTAAAAAGTTCAATGAATCTTCGTTCCCGGTTCCAATTATTACCTCCTCCTTCCAGACCTAGACGTCTTTGTCTGAACCAGTCCAGGGTACTGAAGCTTCCCAGCTGTAAAACCCATTTTATGGGTAACTCATTTGCATATCGTGCTGTACAGCTGTGGAATAAACTTCCCGTGAATATTCAGAATAGCCCGTCTAGCAGTTCCTTCAAAAAAAGATTAAAATCATTTTATCTTTCCAATTTAATTTAAATATAAAAATGATTAGAAGACTGTCATCATCGTGTTCTCTTGTATCTGATATTTATATGTTGTATTTAACGTGTGTATGTATGTGTGTATATGTATGTGTATGTGTATATGTATATATATGTGTATGTGTATGTATGTATATATGTGAATGTATGTGTGTATATATATAATTATTTATAATTTATGTAAATATTTATTTAAATTTCTGTCTTGCACTACTACTGCCCACTCACTACTTCCTATGCCACTGCGTTAGGTTGACTGGAAGAAATCTCTTTTAGAGATAAGTTCGCCTTTGCTAACATTGTTATTAACTTATTGTTGTTACTGTATGTTTTCGTGCAATAAAGAATATGAATTAGTCTCTTGCTGATATCAATTTTACTAGTCTATTTTCACCTAACCACCTGGTGATGTGTAACACCATTAACAAACTTTGAATTCTACCAATTATGCTGTGGTACATAATTGGAACGTTACGTACTTTATTATAGACCGACTTTAGCCTGACTGTCTTATCAACTAAACGCTATATCTAAACATAAACATTAGAAAAAGCATTTACCTTCACGTTATTAAGGATTAAATAGAACAAATTCGAAGCAGTCGTATTTATGGTGGTTTCGAGAAAACAACAATATTATATGGAATTTTTTCATGGTGTCTAATAAAACTCATAAATAAACAATAGTGATTTATTAAAAAAAATATAATACAAAATAACATTTATCAAATTGCAGTATCATTTTATTGCCTAATATACATGTAACACAAATAATATAATCCGAAATCTGATAGTATTTATTTTTAAAACAGAGATAATTTCCCAAAAATGTACCAATAAAAATATTGATGGTTCTACAAATGACTGGCTACCGTTATGCGTTCCATTTGGTACGTAAAGTTAAAAATTGCTTTAATATTTCGACTTAATGCAATTGGAGTAAATTGTTAAGTTTCATAAATACTATCGCTGGATTTCGGATTGTATATGCCTTCGTGCTTTTATAATTGTTTATAAAGACTTTACTCACGTTGTAAAATTTAGGGTTGCCAAACTAATTTTGAACTCGACATGAGCCCTTATACATGAGCGCAATTCACGGTTGCGTCACAAGTTGAACTTAACTGTACTTACTAATTTTTTTAAGGAACTTAAAATGGTAAACAAGCTGATGGACTATCTGATGGAAAATAGTAATTGTCGCCTATAGACAGGAACAGCATTGTAGACGAAATATACTGTGATGCCCGTGGTGTCCCTTATTTTCGAGGAGGGTGGTAACATTTGAAGACGTGAGTAAAGACTGTATAAATAATTAAAATACAGTATAATTCATGATAGTTTTACACCATTGTTGTTAGGACGGCAGGTGCTGTAGGAACCAGTGTACTCCATTAATGAGGTTGTCCATTTCGGAGGGAAGTGACGACAGCGAGTGGTTGTCGTCATACATGTAAATCCTGCAAACGGTGGGTAAATATTTTTTTTTTATGCAAATTAGAATGGCAAACAAACTGACGGCCAACCTGATGGCAAGTTTTGTTTAAGTAAATAAAGTTATTATAAAGTTATAAAAGTTATAAAGAATAAAGATATTTCGAATTCGAAATATACAAGCGCATGCTGACCTGGTGGGTACACCGTTAGCCTTCAGCCGCCTGGCGTAGTCCAAGCCCTGGAAGTGAGGCACGCGCTTGTCCCCAGAGCCCAGCATGATCGCGGTGGGCGCCTTCACGCGGTGCACGTGTGCAAGCGGCGAGCAGCGACGCATCGCCAGAAACTCCTGTTCGGACAGCGGGCCGCTCTCTTTGAACTCGAAGCCAGCTTCTACTGCACACCTATAGTTATTTTATTTATTTATTTATTATTATTTTGACTTATATATTGATTTTGACTGGTTGTATCAGTCAAAACTCTTAAAAAGTCCTAATTTTTTTTATCGTGGGGAAATGCCTCATGCAGACCCATATGCCCCGGGGAAAGCTAAAACCACCACGGCATTCCTCGCCACGCCAAAGTGTTCGGAACCCGGGTTCCCTTTCGAAATCCACCGAGCCCCAAAAAAGTCCTAACTTAACCTAACCTAATTTAAGTGTATGTTTTCTTTGTATTGATTGTAATACCAAATTTTTCGTAATAAACGATTTCACATTTAATAAACATCTTTCTTATTCACATCTAACGAGTTAATAGTGCTTTTGACTGATGTTTTATTGAAGTTAAAACTACTTTTGACGAAGAGCGTCAGTCAAAAGTACTTTTAACCGCAAATTTGCAGTTAAAAGTACTAATAACCAATAATTTTCAAACCACTTTTGACCAACCTATTTAGTCAAAAGTACTTTTGACTAGTTAAGAGTTTTGACTGCAACAGATATAGGACATTCCACAGCGCCATCTAGCTTCGTACTGTAATAGTAGGTAAACAAGTAGTAAAAATACTTAAATACTTTTTTTATTATATATTGAATTTGTTAGGTAAATGGCCAGTATTATAACTGGTCGTATTAGAAAATAAATTAAATATTAATATATGATTTCAACCTAAAAATATATCCACACTGTACTCACCCATCGGAATTATCAGCGTATGGACCTTTAGTAGCAAAATCTAAGACAGGATTCCTCATCACCATAGCCACGAATCTATCCGGGTACTGACCGGCCAAGTGAGCAATGGTGAACCCCCCATAACTACCACTGTACAACAAGCAATGGTCTAGTCTGCTGTCTCTTTCCTTCACTGTGGTTAGAGCGAGAAGACAGTCTTGCACGTCGTATTCGCCGACGTGGCCAATGAGGCTTCGTACGTGCTTGTCACCGTGCCCGATGGAACCGCGGAAATTAATTCTGATGGAGGCCAGACCTAGAGGTATCAACAACTCTAAAAATTCTTAAGAGAAAATAGCAACATGTGGCAACATCGAAATTATGTCAATTTCCAAAACTAACGGAACAATTTTCAAGGATTCTATTTGATTATTTAAAAAGAGTTCCCTGATTTTTTTAAATTTAATAATAGAATGAGATTCTCAATTAGGCTGTTGTTATCCTAAAAATTAAAAAAAAACTGTAACAAAAAAATTTAGTCAAAAAAGTATTTTAAAACTTCCCCAGTCAAAAATTATATAAATGCAAAATTTTATATAATTATATTTAAACTATTTTATAATCAATATTTTAGTTACCTATATAAGCACTTTTTTAAATAATCAACTGAAAATATTGAAAATTGTTCAATTGTTTATTGGAAACTGACAGAAAATGCCAATGTTGCTATACTTGGGTGTGTTGTTCAACTGTTTATTGAAAACTGACAGATAATGCCAATGTTGCTATACTTGGGTGTGTTGTTCAACTGTTTATTGAAAACTGACAGATAATGCCAATGTTGCTATACTTGGGTGTGTTGTTCAACTGTTTATTGAAAACTGACAGATAATGCCAATGTTGCTATACTTGGGTGTGTTGTTCAACTGTTTATTGAAAACTGACAGATAATGCCAATGTTGCTATACTTGGGTGTGTTGATCAACTGTTTATTGAAAACTGACAGATAATGCCAATGTTGCTATACTTGGGTGTGTTGTTCAACTGTTTATTGAAAACTGACAGATAATGCCAATGTTGCTATACTTGGGTGTGTTGATCAACTGTTTATTGAAAACTGACAGATAATGCCAATGTTGCTATACTTGGGTGTGTTGTTCAACTGTTTATTGAAAACTGACAGATAATGCCAATGTTGCTATACTTGGGTGTGTTGTTCAACTGTTTATTGAAAACTGACAGATAATGCCAATGTTGCTATACTTGGGTGTGTTGTTCAACTGTTTATTGAAAACTGACAGATAATGCCAATGTTGCTATACTTGGGTGTGTTGTTCAACTGTTTATTGAAAACTGACAGATAATGCCAATGTTGCTATACTTGGGTGTGTTGATCAACTGTTTATTGAAAACTGACAGATAATGCCAATGTTGTTATACTTGGGTGTGTTGTTCAACTGTTTATTGAAAACTGACAGATAATGCCAATGTTGCTATACTTGGGTGTGTTGATCAACTGTTTATTGAAAACTGACAGATAATGCCAATGTTGCTATACTTGGGTGTGTTGATCAATTGTTTATTGAAAATTGACAGATAATGCCAATGTTTCTATATTTGAGTATGAATGCATTAGTTCTATATTAGTATAGATATTTGTATGTTTACCACATATATATTATAAAGAAGTTAGGAAATATATAATAAGTATATATATATATATATATATATATATATATATATATATATATATATATATATATATATATATATATATATATATATATATATACTCATATTTAACGTATCTAATATGAAGTATATACTATAAAATTTTTACAATATATAAAAATAAATCGGTGTCGGTCAGGCCTCCAAACAATATAAAGAAAAAAATAAACCCTACCCCACTTAAAAGAAAATCCGGTTAACTAATAAACATATAGCCTCATTTTAATTCACAAACGTAGAAAATCAAGAATCTGATAAAGTTAAAACAGGAAATTAAAAAATTAAGAGCTCTGCGTTAGTGATGCTATGTTTGACCTTTATATAGCAACATAAAAAAATAAACGTTAATGTTGCCATTTTAACAATAAAAAATATATTATGGTCGTTATTTTCGAACTCTATATAACAACACGAAAACAAGTGGATGTTAGTGTTGCCACTTTGCTAGTGAAAAAAGGTAATTTAAATATGGCGAGTTTTTATTTTTTCTTATATAATCTTTATTGTATATCTAACCATATATTACCAACTAATACATATAATTTATACATTTTATTGAACCACCATGTTCAAACTGTGCTAAGAGATATTTGTATTTTTAGATTGTTTTGGACTTTTTCATATATAACACAGGGGACAAACGAGCATGCAGCTCACCTGTTGGTAAGTAATTACCGCCTTTGTAGAGGATTTACAAAAAAAAAATTCAAAAGTATATATTAGCTGTCTAATAGAAGTTGTATAATACAAACTATAGTGAATTTGTAACTAGATGGCGCTGTGTAATATATCCAGTGTTATTTATTATTATTGATTGGTCAATAATAAATTACAACTAAACTCAGAAAGATCTATCTAGATGCATAGATACATAAGCGTGAAAACTCATGCAATGTAGAAACTTGGTCAAATGCAAAGGTGATAATGGTAATGCAATAATGCGACAGCAGTGTGCAAGACAGTCAAGGACAACCACATTAGAAGCATGAGGATGATCGAAGAAACAAAGAAAGCTGCTAGAAATAGACATGCACACTACAATCCTGCTGTAACCACGACGCGAGGCAATCCATGTCGTAACATCAGAATTCAAATTACCCCACCTTTTACGAATCAAAAATATTACAGAACACAAACTTACTGTTAAAATAACCAAAGGGTACAGCAGTCAAGAAAAATACGTCACTAGAAGCCTGATATTGGTGAATATTTAGAATTTTGGACTGTACTTCTTGAAACCCGAGTTTATTGGACATTTTGGATTTACCTTTCATGGTAGACCAGCCAGTATGCAAGCACTATTTACCTGAAATCACGTTGCAATAACGCCGAAATAACAATAGAAGGATTCTACAAAACTCACCAGTCTGCGATATCCGTGGAATTGAACATTGATGCGACGTCGATAACCGGGTTTCGGCTGACAACCACGCTGTACACATCCGGGTATTGTCCACTGAGGTGGGTGACGAGAAAACCACCGTGGGACCCGCCCATGAGACATAGCTTTTTGGGGTCGATTGGGAACCGCTTTAAAACTTCGTCGGTCGCGTATTTACAATCTTTAACGTCGTAATCGCCGACGTGTTTCGGCAAACAGGACAAGGAGGCCTGACCGGCGCCCGTTGAACCGCGATAGTTGATTTGGAGTACAGCAAAACCTGCAGTTTTAGTTGTATTTAATTTTTTAGAGGATTTTAAGAGGAGGTAATGTCCTGAATCAATTTTAAATTAAAAAGAAAACGTTTGCAATTGAGTTAAAAATACCTAATAAATATAAAATAATACCATATAAAAAATATTTTTAATTATATATTAGATTGCAAAAAGTATATATATATATATATATATATATATATATATATATATATATATATATATATATATATATATATATATACAGATATATGCCCATGATACCCCCATGCGTTGCTACTCCTGAGGACTCGGGTGTTATTCCTCTGTACCCAGTAAATTTACGCCATATCCCACCCATCAATCCGAAACACAGCCATGCAAACACAACTGCTTCACGGTAGAAATACGAATGGGACAGAGGTACCCAAGCAATCGACTTTTGTACAAAGTCTCCCTCTTGTATTATATTACTAGTAATGGGGCTGTTTGACCCCATTTCTAACAATCCCTTTCCCCCCAAAAGGAAAGTTGTATAGTATATTAAAAAAAAACTTACCTAGCAGGTTGAATAGTGCCGTTTCGATTGCGAACGCATTCACGAAGTTAGTGTGCGGTCCGCCGTGCGGCCACACCACAAGCGGCAGCTTCTTGTTGCCCTCCGGTGCCAAGTATATAGCCGTGAACGAATCTAAATATACAGTTCATTTCAATAAACCATTCATTCATTTAGTTTGTGCTGTAATCATATCGTCATAGTCGTAGAATACTGGCGGATTCGTCAGATCCGTCAGTATTCTACGACTATGACGATATATGTTACAGGGCAAAAGCAGCAACAACTGCAACGTATTGACTTTTTTTTAATGGATGATAATGGAATGGTAACCCCACCCGCGCTATCGGTATACACCGACGGGGCACCGGTGTAGAATAATAGGTGAGGATGAAGCAGGTCAGTGAGCCCATCGTGACGAATTCAACAAGAATTGTTCACGATGGTTTCCAGGAGGAACCACATGGAGATCGACCTAATAGGGCATATTGCTAGCAACAGGTATCCCACCTGTTGCTAGCAATATGCCCTATTAGTATGGCGTGAATTTACAGAGTACAGAGGAATAACACCTGAGTCCTCAGGAATGGCATAGCATGGGAGGAATCATGGGCGAAACAGTATACTCTGTTATATCCATGGTACTGCTCATGTTTATAGGTGACGGTTACCACTTTCCATCAAGTGAGCCGTCAGCTTGTTTGCCATTCTAAGTTGTATAAAAAAAATCCCTAAAGCCTAACTGCGGTTGTCAATTCGTCTGCCAAGCATGGCAACTACTGGCAAAACCCCACAAGGAGGAAGTTTGTTTTTTTTTTTACAACACAAGGGGCAAACGAGCATGCGGCTCACCTGATGGTAAGTGACTACCGCGCCCATGATCACCCGCAACACCAGAGGCATTGCAGGTGTGCTGCCGGCCTTTTAAAAAGGAATATACTCTTTTCTTTAAGGTTATGTTGGCGTATCGGTTCGGAAATGCTGCTGCTGCAAGTTGATTCCAAAGAGTGGTTGTGCGTGGACGTTCAGCAGTGGACGGTTAAGGGCTGATATGATGATCATGATGGCCGCATCGGTACTCACTGACAGTATCAGTGCAGTGTTCATGCCGCAACTGCAGGTACTGCACAGTGGAGGGAGGCAGCGGCGACTGCGGCGAGGGCCCGACCGCTCGCCACGAGATCTGCGCCTCACTGCCCGCCGCCGGCAGACGGCCCACGTACAACTGTGGAAGGGTTAGTATTTAAATTATTATAAGTAATATAACACTTTGGCGGTGAGTGGGGCTTCCATCAAATGGATTATCATCACATAGCATGTTTGCATTATCAAGTTGTATAAAAAATATTCATTAATCGATTAGAACTATATTTTTTTAATACCGTTTGATTACAAACATTGACATTAGCTTCCAAGCTACAATCGATTTATTGCCTGATGATGCCTCATTTACAGATGAAACAAATCGTTCAATAAGTTCGCTTATTTTCATTTACTTTAAATATTAAAACGTTTTCTTTACAATTTTGATGTACAATATAGTGGAAGAAAACGGTCAGAGATTATAATTTACAAGAGACTCATAAAAAATATCATAGAAACTCTACTAACAATAGTCAGTCCTCGATATCAAATGTTGGCAGTTGCACGCACACTAATGGTGGTAGGAAAGCAATACTAACCAATGATTAAGGGTGGGTAATATATAGCAATAGGGGGGAAGGGATCGTTGGTAATGGGAAGGTTTGACTCCATTGCTATAAATATACCCTATCAGGTCGACCTTCACGCGATTTCCCCTGGAAACGATGTCTAAAGCCACGATGGACTAACTGACCTACCTTTTCATCCTCACCTATCATCCCTCACTGGTGCCCCGCCAGATTTTCACCCATTCAAAAAAAATCCACATTCACGCATCACTACACACACAAATAATACACACTTTTACACTAATTATTGCTGAACTTCCAATGCGACGTTCCAAATAAGTTTCTCCACAGATTTAACCTACCCTCCAAAAATAAGCGTAACATTGTCTGGTATACAAATTGGGAATCTGTTATTGGCTAATTTATGTAAATATATATATTTTTTAATTATTCTAGATATAAGCTGTTGATTCCAGATGTAATATTAAAATAAAATAAAAAAAAAATATAAATAGCGGACCGGTCTCCAAATTACTCATTCTTACCAATGATATAGAGTTACACAAAATAACAGTTAATTTAGTAAAAAGGTCTTCCACTTACTTGTCCAGGCGTGGTCATGTTGGAACAAGCCGCGAGGATCACGCCTCCCTTCATGTCTAGGATACTGGTGGAGCCTGAGAAGCTCTTGTTTGATATGTCCACTATTCTTTTACCATCTAATAAAATATAAAGAAAAAATTAAACCGAATTGAGAACTTCCTTTTTTATAGTCGGTTAAACAGAAACCGCGAATTAAATATTGACAAAAAATATATTAACTAGTAATCTAATGCATTTATTTAAAAAAATATGGTACAAAAAAAAACATTTTTTATACAACTTAGAATGGCAAACAAGCTGACGGACCACCTGATGGAAAGTGGTAACCGTCGCCTATAGACATGAGCAGTACTATGGCCTTAACAGAGTATACTGTTTCGACTATGATACCTCCCATGAGTTGCAATTCCTGAGAACTCAAGTGTTATTCCTCTATACCCAGTAAATTCACGCCATATCCCACCTATCAAACCGAAACACAGCCATGTAAACACAACTGCTTCACGGTTGAAACACGAATGGGACAGAAGTACCCAAGCAATCGACTTTTGTACAAAGTCTCCTTCTGGTAAATTATTTTTTATAATATTTGTTTTTATATCATTTAAAATATTTTTAATATACAGAATCCGCAACTGTGTAGCTTTCTTCTCCTTCGTAAAATCACTTGCGAATATGATCCAAAAGCAGTTCTAAAACATACCGATATCAGCAATATAGCTTCTGATTTCATCTGTATGCGGAGTCGAGAACACGACCCTGCCGTCACCCGTGAAACACGCGTGTGGTAACGACTGACAGTACAGTCCGTGGAAACTAGCGCCATCTGTTATCTTCAACTCGGTGTCCACTATGTCTATGATCGGGCAGACTTCTTCCTGAAATAAACGTTACCATCTTACCTGAATAAACTTTTCTGAGAATGGTCCAAGCATAGTAATATATACTATATAGTATATATACTTTTGAACTCACTTAAAAAATAATTAAGTTCTCTATTCCGTCAGTTCTAAATCGAATTTGATTTTTTTTCTGAAAAAATATTGACTTACAAATTGTTCTCATAGAAATCTGCAAGTACATCAATATGTTTAAAAACTATTTCAATTACTTCCTTTCCCTCTTAATACGGGGACTGAGGGCGCATGTCATACATGCAACCTTAGCTACGTGTTGAGATTTTTCCAAGGGATTTAGACGTGTTTCTTAAAAAAAATGTACAGATGTTTCTTCAATGTTGGCAACGCGCGTCTTGGTGTTACAAACATGCATGGACTACGATAACCGCTTACGATCAGGCAGGCCGTATATCTGTTTTCACCTCAAAGGGATAACATTTATTTACCATGGGGGAAAGAGATTGTTAGTATTGGGTATCTAACAACCCCATAGCTAGCAATATACTTTATCAAGTCGACCTTCACGCATTTCCCCCTGGAAACTATCATGGTTAATTCCTGATGAATTCATCATGATGAGCTAACTGGCCTGTTTTCATTCTCATCTATCACCCTTCACTGGTGCTCCGCCAGCGTATCCCGTTAGCGCAGGCGGGGTTACCACTTTATTATCACCCATTTAAAAATAAAAGAGGTAATTATTTACAGAGCCGTTTCTCCTGATGACAAGAGAGTGGCAGGCGTGATGCGGCCCGCCCGGTGTACGCTGCAACCAAACCACGCCGTCGGCAAACACGCGCGGAGAACGCACCGACACGCCCTCTTTGGACAACTTGCCTGAACATCGAGATAAAATAATTTAATATTCCACGTAAATAAATAAACAACATGGGTTTAATGGGGCTCGTATTTTATATATGCTATGACGTGACGTGACGTATATGATATGGCGTGAATTTACAGGGTACAGAGGAATAACACCCGAGTCCTCAGGAATGGCAACGCATGGGGGGTATCATGAGCGAAACAGTATATTCTGTTATGTCCATGGTACTGTTCATGTCCATAGGCGACGGTTACCATTTTCCATCAGGTGGACCGTCAGCTTGTTTGACATTGTAAGTTGTGTAAAAAAAAATTTTTTTTTGTTCTTATTGACCCACTTACTTAATTTCCCGTCGAGCGTGAGACTGAATATGTATCCAGGCCGGTTGGTGCAGAACATGAGTCCGAGCCGACGCGGCTCTGTCTCCCACGCGACACCTACCACGCTCTTGCCGTCCGGTGTGAAAGAAACCTTAAAAAAAAAAAGTAAAAATTGATTCAGTAACAATACCCAATATAATGTAACCAATATAAGGTATTATACGTATTGTATTCTTCCGGTGATTTCAACCGGAAACGTGGTAGTGGGGCGTAAGATAGTCACATATAGACACTGGAAAAACAAAAAAGGGCACTGTCGTCAAAGACACAAAACAGTTCGAAGGCGTTCTTAATCTATAGAATTATATATCTTAATATACAGTGAACGCTTTATATAAGCAACCTCTATGTAAGCAACATTCTTTATATTTTATTTATTCTACTCAGCTTAGTTGGGGGGAAGAGATTGTTAGCAATGGAGTTTAAGAGCCCCATTGCTAGCAATATGCTCTATCAGGTCAACCTCCGCGTGGTTCCCCCTGGAAACCATCGTGAACAATTCTCGTTGAATTCATCACGATGGGCTAACTGACCTGTTTCATCCTCATCTATCATCCTTCACTGGTGCCCTATCAGCGTATACCGATAGCGCGGGTGGGGTCACTATTTCATTATCACCTATAAAAAAAACTCAGCTTAGTTAATAAAAGAAATAAGTAAAAATATTTTCCAGACGGTGAGTATTTTTGTACTCCTTTTTCCCCTGTAAGCTTTTAACTTTTTCCAATAAGAATTTTTTTTTATTGAAATTGGTTCTAATGAGTTGCTTATATAGAGCGTTCACTGTATTTATTTAATAGTACAAGTATTTGATTAAGTTTCTCTATTTCCTATGTATTATAATTATAAACATAAATCAAAAAGTGCAAAATGATAATATAAATGTTAGGGGGGAAGGGATTGTTAGTAACGGAAACTAAAGGCCCTATTGCTAGCAATATACCCAAGCAGGTCGACCTCCACGTGGTTCCCCCTGGAAACCATCGTGCTAAATTCCAAGTGTATTCATCACGATGGGCTAACTGACAAGCCTTTTCATTCTTACCTATCATCTCTCACTGGTGCCCCGCCAACGTATACCGTTAGCGTAGGCGGGGTTACCATTCCATTATCATCTATTAAAAAAAAAATATAAATGTTAATAATAATAATAATAACTGGTATTTAATTTATTCTTATAATATAATGAAGTGAAATGGTAAACTTGATATCGGTCAAGTCTGGAGTAGACTTGGCCCACCCGGTCCCATCTTAAATACACCTTTTTTTTTTTAACGTGAGGAAATCTTCCAAAGACCTTCCCAACTGCCGGAGGGAAGGCAGAGGGGGTGTGTGGGATTTTTACCCACTAAAACCTCACGACGTACCTCGAGGCGCATATGTCGGGTCCCCGGGCTCCCGAGTTGAAGACGACCGGAGCCCGACGCATCTTAAATACACCTATGAGTATATCTATTCAGGTAATACACATTGTCAATCTGACCATGACGGAAATCCGTCTTCTTTCGAACCTACATCCTTCAATTTTCACAGAATATATCTATACTCACTTGTCATGAATAAGTTTTATAAAAACTTTAAAGTGAAAACCGAACGCCAAAGATCTCTATTCGTAAATACATTTCCTGCTTCCTGCACTTTCACAATTCATACAGGCATACACGCTAATTCCGGAGACTCGATTCCTCCGTCAAAAACACGGTCTATCCGATCGTAATAGGTTAGTCTTGGTCCACCCCCCCCCCCCCCCCCGATACCTACATCCGTTCACATTCGCATTGTACTTGTTTTCTTAACCTATTATCTGGCTTTTATCATTTTTCAATTTTACAATATTCTTTTTTTTTATTGTTAGGGAGGCGAAAGAGGCGGTCCACCTGATGGCAAGCGGCTACCGTCGCCCATGAACATCCGCAACACGAACAGAGTTGCTAGTGTGTTGCGGACCTTTAAAATGTTTGTAGGGATTTGAAATTCCCCACATTATATTGTAAAGGGAAAACTGAAGAAGGGAACTCATCCCAAAACCTAGATGTCATCATCATCATGTCAGCGTTTAACTGTCCACTGCTGAACACAAGCCTCTTCCTTAAGGGGTTTGGCAGTAATTGCCACGCTTGGCAGGCGGATTGGCAACCGCAGTTAGGCTTTGGAGATGTTTTAAAAGGGACACTGCTGCTCGTCCCTTGCCCTCCCTTAGTCGCCTCTTACGACACCCTCGAGAAAGGAAGGGGGTGGCCTATTCTATGCTGGGACCACACGGCAAACAACCTGGATTTACGAGGTAGAAATAAAGGGAATGCACAGACAGTATAGTATGCCACGCACCCAAGAAACATAAATAAAACAATTTCATGATTAGCTTCGCGGAAAAATGTGCGAAGGCCATGTTTTATTAGGCATTATAGATAAGACGACAATGAAGAGGCATTGTTTATAAGACAGTAGTAAAAATAAATACAGACAGTCTAATTAATGCCCCTTATCATACTGTTATACAACAGGGTGACACGTTTGTCGTATTCAAAATTATTCGTTTTATATATTTCATTTCTTTTTTAAATACATATCTGTCACACCTGTCTCCCATTAGTGTAGGCAGAAACAATGGAACGCCAAATGCTTCGATTCAAACAAGCCTCTTTCGCTTCCTCCACATTCATCAATCTTTTCATATACAGCGACCAAGGGAACTTAATAGTCAAAGGATTGGCAGCAGCGCCCCTCTTAAAGCATCACCAAAGCTTAATTGCGGCTACCATCCCACTTGCCAAGCGTGGCAACTATTGGCAAGATCCCCAAATGTATGGGGAAAGCCTATGTTCAACAGTGGACAGATAATCGCTCATATGATATATATGACAAAAAATATTATCCTCGTTATAAAGCAAAATGAAGAGGGGAAGGGATCGTTAGTAATGCGGGCTACCAGTTACATTGCTAGCAATATACCCTACCAGGTCGATCTCCACGCGGTTCCCCCTGGAAACCATCGTACTATATTCCAGATGTATTCATCACGATAGGCTAACTGACCTGCCTTTTTATTCTAAGCTATCGTCCCTCACTAGCGCCCCGCCAGCGTATACCGTTAGCGCAGGCAAGGTAACCATTGCATTATCATTCACTTAAAAAAAAGACTTGCTGTTTGGAACTTTCTTAGCATCTGGTAAGAAAAGAGAAAAGCTATATAACCTTTTAACCACCCCAGTCGGTTTGAACCAAGAAATATTTTCATATCTGTAGCTACTATTCCGTATTTTTCCGACAGAGAACATTCCGAAAATAAACATAAGAACATAGGTTACGTTCTTAAGTTTATTTTTTCCGTTTATTCAGTTGCCTTCTTAATAAATAGAGACAGAATATAGAACAATAGTGTACAATCATTTAAAATCACCTATTATATAGTCACAAAAATAAAAATAAAATGTTATTTAAACTGGCCGATTTGAGTCACACGTTAAGGCTGCAGCGACAACTACAAAATCAATAAAAAAAAAAATTATCAATTCCTTTTTTAAACGACTTTAAAACTTCTCAATTCGGTTGTCTTTTTTTTTATTTAATTTTTATTATCTTATAATTTTGCAAGTTGTAAACCGATATGGAAAACTCTTTTTACATCTGAAAGGATATAATTGCAAATTGGTCCTATAGAAATTTTATCAAAATCGGTCCAGTAGTTTATCTTTCAAATCAAAATGACTAGTTTTGCCACAATTGAAGTCAGTTTTTTTATAGCACATAATGTTCAATAATTAAAAAAATAAACTGTTTAAGTTGTATATCAGTTGTCTTACATATTATAGCTTTACTCAGTTTAGGATTAGACATCTAATGTAAAATGCCTTATTTAAGCTACTTCCTCTTCATGGTACCGTATTAGTAAATTTAAAATAAATTTTATTATTACCTGTCCCGGACACCAACTCTCTGGCAGTCCCTCCAAAACTGTAAATTTCTCCGTCTGTAGTTGACACACGACAATCGAAGAAAGGTGCTTGCCAACCAGCTGTTCACCCCAATCTTGACGGTATACAAATTCTTCACCCTGTATTCATATATTTATTTATACTTTATTGTACACAAAAACTACATAGTTATTATATATATATATATATATATATATATATATATATATATATATATATATATATATATATATATATTAAATAAAGATGTACAAGAGGCGAGCTTAACTCTGTAAGAGTTCTCTTTCAGCAAACCCTGAGTGGAAACGCATGGGGGTATTATGGGCGAAACAATATACTCTTCTATGTCCATGGTACTGCTCATGCTTATAGGCGACGGTTACCACTTTCCATCAGGTGGGCCGTCAGCTTGTTTGCCATTCTATGTTGTATAAAAAAAAAGTTTGCTATTTCTATAAGGACTTATGATTTTGTCTCGTATTTCACTTATACAAATTATATTCTTTTATTATCCATTGTGAAAAGATTAAAATCATGTTGTTTTATCTTCATACCTTCTTTGGGGTTGATTCGCCACTACCTTCAGTTTTGAGTTTTTCCTCGTTCTTTCTCTTAATATAGGGTTCATATTTTGGAAGTTTCCTTTCAGCAACGTACACAATTGCACTCTCATCTTGCGACCAATTCAAGCAGCCAAATTCTGCTGCAATTAAAAATGTGCGGAATGAAAGCAAAATACCATAATCTCAACTGTATAAACATATATGAATTGAACAATTGAACAAATAATTTAAGACATAATTACATATAACATAGAAATCATTTATAGAAGAAAAAGGAATGTTCCAATATTATGTAATGCAATTATTGAAATTTTTTGTAGTTTGAGTGCGAGGATCAAGTAGCTTGACTGCTTATTTGTCATTGTAATTGCAATAATAAACTTACAATCAGCATACACATCTCCATGTAAGTCGAGCGCTGTGAGATCAATACAATGCACTAAGCTGGTCTTGCTCCACACTTCCAAGTACTGTTTCTTGTCTTTCTCCTTCTCCTCGCGTATCACGGCCCGGTAGGTATCGCGTGGCGATACTGATGACAGCAATCTGTAATATTTCTTATATTGAACTATCAATTCAGAAAAAAAAATTATAATGTGTGGGTAGTTTGAGTCACAGCACTCAGTGATATCACTAAGAAACTAAGACTAGTTTGAAGGGTATGATATAGCAAAGGGAGGGTTAAAAAACTCATTTTACATGAATCATAATAGAATTCACTTTGTATAACCTGCCCAGTCCAATAGGCCACTCAGATAAAAATTTAAATATTAACAGACTTGGCTTGTAAAATCTGGGATTGTCCTAGAATATTGAATCTTGTTTGCAAATAGACTTTTTGTTTCAGATTCCGAACAACTGCTACTTCTTTCTTTTTCCTAAAGTATAACTAAAGTTATCAACATAACATGCAGGGCACACTAAAACTCAACGATATATGCCGCAATCCAAAAAATTACAACAAGTATAAATACTACCAAAGGTTTAGTCTTTACTTGTTGTATTTTATGGTATTGGTTTAATTAATTAAATACCTATTTATTATCATATATTTATTACTACCATCTTACCTAATTACATTGGAATTGTCCTGGAAATAATAAACCTGTATCATTTAAGAAATAAAAGGGAACAAGAAATGTAATAGATTTAAGATAGATAATTAGTACATATATTTGTAAAGAAAGTAATTTTTACTTAGACAGAACATTAACATTAACTAAACAAGTTGCTAGGTGTTGGTCTTATTCAATCTATGTTAGCTGAACTTAAACCAGAAATTTTTTAACATCTCTGTAAATTATTGATGCCCATTAATTCTTCTCTTTCCGCGTCTAGGGAAAGTAGATAAAGTTTTGTTTGAGAAATCAATTCAGGGTACAATAGGACTGATATATCTGAAAAAGGTAAAAGCCCTTAAATAATATAAAAAAAAAAAGTTGCTAGGCAACGCACAGATAAAGAAGAGCACTAACATCGTTAGACAAAGATCTCTTTTTAACAGTATCTAGCAACTTCACCATGTTTCTTACAAATAAATATTCATATTCAACCTTAACAGTATATTACCTAATACAATTTATTATGGATTATTAAAAAAATCTTTATATTTTCATATAAAGCTGTTTTTAAGCCAGAATTTATAATAATAAACTTTTCACTCACTCGTTGCTGACATCAGTACCAAAAGAAGACTCCGAGATAACTTTCAGATCGCTATTGAGTACATAATCTAATAGGTATTTGCTCGTCTTGCCCTTGTCTAAATTCCTTACTGACCATTTTGACAATACTTTATTACCACTACTGTTCAGTCTTCCACCCACAATAGAAGGAATTTTGGCCAGTCTTTTGTAGACATTTATAATGTTTTCCAGCTACAAAAAAGATAATTCATATACAAAATAAATATACTAAATATAGAAAATAAGTAAATGACTAATTGTGGCAAAGAAGACACGGATGAATTTAGAAATTAAGATATATTAAACAGTATTTTAAGATAAATAATAAATAGAATAAACCATTAAATGTTCCATCTTCAAGATCAGAAATAAAACACATGGCAAATTAAGAGAAAACTATTAATGATTACTCATTTATACCATATATTAGTGATAACATGTATAGTAGATTTTGTTATTTTTTTTTTACCATATTAAGTATTTACATCAGTTATATTATACATGACATAAAATAAATATTACATACATTATAAACTACATAACATAACATATAAACTGGTTGGTTTGGTCATTTGGAGAGGATGGATGAAAGAAGAATTACGAAAAAGATTTATCGAACAAGAATGAATGGAGATGTCGGTAGGGGCCGCCCTAGACGGACGTATGTTGACCAAATAGGCGACGTGCTGAAGAAGGGCCAAATTAAAAGTACCCGTAACCGGCAAGCGTGTATGAAAAGATTGATGAATGTGGAGGAAGCGAAAGAGGTTTGTTTGAATCGAAGCATTTGGCGTTCCATTGTTTCTGCCTACCCTAATGGGAGACAGGCGTGACAGATATGTATGTATGTATGTATAAACTGGGAAGAAGCGAACATTTACCAGAGGGAGACTTTGTACAAAAGTTGATTGCTAGGGTACCTCTGTCTCATTCGTGTTTCTACCGTGAAGCAATTGTGTTTACATGGCTGTGTTTCGGTTTGAAGGGTGGGGTATAGCGTGAATTTACTGGGTACAAAGGAATAACACCTGAGTCCTCAGGAATGGCAACGCATGGGGGGTATCATGGGTGAAACAGTATACTCTGTTATGTCCATGGTACTGCTCATGTCTATAGGCGACGGTTACCACTTTTCATCAGGTGGGCCGTCAGCTTGTTTGCCATTTTAAGTTGTATAAAAAAAAACATGAGAATTTAACCTTTTAACATTCATAATAAAGAATGTGCTTGATAATCAACATGTAATACATCTATTAGTTGCTGTTTTAACATATTACCTGTGTGTAATGTTTTAAATTAAAAATAATGGAATATGTACTATCACAGGCAATAGGGTAATAGGTGTGAATGAAAACAGGTAAATTGGACCATTGCAATTTTCAACAAGAATTAATCATGGTTTCTTGGGGAAATTACATGAAACCCCAGTCATCTACAAATGGGATCCTAGAGATATAGCAAATCGCCTTAAGGTATGTTGTGTGGTTTTTAGCTGGTAAAAGTTTCCTTCTGTCCTCCCTCTGACAGTTGAAACGATCTTTTGAAGATTTTCAACACAAAAAAAAAAGAGGGGGAACCACATGAAGGTTGAATTGGCAAGGTTTATTAGAGTAGGTAGTCTCTGTTACTAACTACCCATTCCTCCTCTTGCTGATGTACTAGCAACTTTTATCAATATGAAAATGATTTTGTTTGTTACCTTTTGGTGCTTTATCTGCGCAACCAATAATCCAAAATCTGGCATATACAGACTATTTGAAATGTCAATTAAGAACAGTTTATATATTATTGGTTAATTTATTGTAACGATCCAGACTACCCTTCTTATTCATAAAAATGACAAATCTCTTATAAAACTATTTTAGCTATTGAACTGTATTGTTTTTTTTTTCTTTTGTGTTAAATTCTCAGTTTGAAAGAAAGGACAAAATAGTGTAATCGTTAATTCAAATAGATTTATAAATTTTAGCTTTTAGGAATAAGAGGGTAAGAGATATTGTAACTAAAGTATGGGTATCTACTGCCAAGGTACTAAATTATTTATATAACGGATAGACTAAATCCAGGACATCAAACATTGTTTAATCAAAATACTTACTTGAGAGGTCATTTTAATCTCACAATATTTTGGGAAATATTACACAAAAAAGAATCTATAATTCTATAATGTTCATAAAATTCTTTAATGTAGGTAAATAAGCATTAATTACACTGACAAGACGTTAAAAAAAATTCAGCCGATATCAATTTTGCTCCTAAAAACAGTAAGTATTTCAGGGCAATAAAAAAATTATTATAACAACTCTACAGTTGATACCCACTATTTATATAAGTGAGGTAGATAAATAAATAAAACTACGATATTGAAGCACTGTCAGCTGACAGTCACTGAAAGTGACAGCAATCCTTATATTATTTAATAATCACCACTGCCTTTATATTATTGAAACTAGAAAATGGACTATGCAACCAACTATTGCTTTTCGGATAGCCACATTTGTTTAACATTGTATGTAAACTTCATTATCAAATTAAGAATTTTATAAGTACATATTGCATTATAATTATAATAAAAATCGGATTTGGATTCGGTCAGAAGAAACCAAACGGAAATTATATGTATTTTGTTGAAAATGCACTACTAAATTTAGAATAATTTCATGTCCTTAATCACAGTGAATGACAATAGAAATGGCAAAGAAATAAGTAACAAAACCCAACTAGATAAAATATTACCAACCCTCCATATTAATATAGTGTTTAGCTATTAAATTAATATAGTTAACTCAAATTCAGTTAATATGAAATTCAGTTTTTAATTTTTTTAGTTATTTATTTAATTCATAAAGCTAAAAGATACTTACAATATAAACTACAATTGTTTAGTTTTACCGTTTACCTCAAGAATAGTAAATAGGCATCTATTGCCTAAATACATTTAACTATCACTACATAGTTTGCGCCTAAGTGAGGATAAAGTGTGTGAAATATATAATAAAATTTCATTCAAAGTTCACGAAATCTCTCTCCTGATATATTTATAGGTATAATTTCACTTTCAATTTATTTATGATGCATATAAGTTATAATCACTTCGAACAAAGAACCGTTTATATAAAATCTGTGCAACCAAACTACCAATGTAATAACTATACAAGCAACATAAGTAAAATAAAATAAAAAAAAAAAATATATAAAGTGCATTGAATTTGAAATTATGCTCACTATCGACATTTTAGACAGACGCATGTTATGTTAGTGGTACGACACTAAATTCCTCATTTCATTTTTTTTTTTTATTATATTATTGGTGATACTAGGTGATTGCTTAGATTTATTTTCTAATTTCATACACATGACACATAAGGGCAGTGCCAGCTCTTGAATTAAACAAAACTTTATTTTAACTTTTATAATTCAACAAAATGACTTTATTATAAAAGATAAAAAGTACCTAGTCACCGCTAGGCACTAAATATGTATAGTAGTCATTAAAGAATCTTTTGCATAAGGATAAAAATAAGTAAGTACTTCACATTTTAATAGGTTAATTTCAAGTTGCCGGTTTCACAAGTGAAGATAATATTTTGGCTAACAATTTCTTTTGTAAATAAACACCATGCTCAATAATTATTGTCTATACATATCTACTTATTGATCGATACGTAATATATATTTCTACGCAAAATTAAGTTTCATGTAAGTTAATGTGCCACCTATACGTTATTTTCACAAAATTCAATATATTTAATCCAGTAGTGTTATTGTTAAAAGCCACGCAAATACATGTTATATTTTAATTATAAGAATAAGAGGATCTATTTCTTAGACTCCCTTTTGATAGATATTCCCCAAGGGTATCCACTGGGGGAAAGGGATTGTTAGTAATGGAGACTGAGAATCCCATTGCTAGCAATATACCCAACCAGGTCGACCTCCTTGCGGTTCTCCCTGGAAACTATCATGGTTAATTCCTGATGAATTCATCATGATGGGCTAACTGGCCTGTTTTCATTCTCATCTATCACCTTTCACTGGTGCTCCGCCAGTGTATCCCATTAGCACAGGCATTTTTTGTGGGTTAAAATGGTATAGTAACCCTGCGCTATCGCTATACACCAACGAGGCACCAGTGGAAGATGATAGGTGAGAATTAATGCAGGTTAGTTGGCCCAACATGATGAATTTGACAAGAATTAAACATGATGGTATCCAGGGGAAACCACTTGGAGGTCAACCTGAGGAATGGGGCTATTAGACCCCATTACTAACAATCCCTTTCCCCCCAACACATGGATAGATTAGCATTTTTAAAAATAACATACAGTTTGTTTTAGTCACTGATAATGTAGGTTTCTATAGGTGAAAGATTTATTAAAATTGGTTAAGTAGTTTATCTATTGTAAATAATAAAATCTTTCTTCTTAAACTTATATGTATAAATGTTCTTTTTACTTTAAATAAAATTGGAACTATAAACTTTATATCTATAGCATTATATCATCATCCTCCTACCCTTATCCCAATTATTATTTGGGGTCGACGTAATATGGTTTTATCCATACTACAAAAGGATTTAGCTTATAGTTTTACGACCGGCTGCCGGCCTGACATCAAGCCTCTTTGGGAATATATAATACCCTCTATAGCATTATCAGGGCCGTGCCTGGGTATATGGCCGCCTGCGTGCCAGTCTGTATGGCCGCCCCCAAGATAACATTAAAAAAAACTACTTTAATTTTTAATGTTTATTATTATACACAGGGCATCAAACCGGGAAAAAAATCAGTTTTTGGTTAACCGAAATCGGCCCAGTAAACAACTTGTAACGATTTGGCCGCCTCTTAATTTCGGCCGCCTGCGTGCGGTGCACGCAATGAACGCCCGTCAGGCACGGCCCTGAGCATTATATATTCAACATATTAATAATCTTGATGACTGATGATTTTATTTTACAGATATGGAGCCCTCTGTAACATTAGATACATCAACTAAGTCAAACATAATCCCAGAAAAGAAACAAAACAGCAATGCAAACTTTAAAAATGGTGATATAAAGGTAATATTTAATTTTTTATTAATTTTTATTAATTTTTTTATATATATATTAATATTTTTATCTATAATACAATTTTAATTAAAATAATCTTATTTTAGCTTCAAACAGATTTTTTTTTTTTTTTTTTAATAAAATATCTATGCCACTGCGTTAGGTTGACTGGAAGAAATCTCTTTTAGAGATAAGTTCGCCTTTGCTAACATTGTTATTAACTTATTGTTGTTACTGTATGTTTTTGTGCAATAAAGAATATATAATAAAATTTGATAAATTTATTAACTAATATTTCCAGATTCCTTATGTTAAACTTTACAGACTCAATAAAAATGATTTACAGAAGATAAAAAAAGACCAAAGAGATTATTCTAGTGGCAATAAAGTGATCATAGAAAAGGTAAGAATACAACTTTATTGATTTTTAGTTATACATGCATATACTAATACACTTAGTATTTGTATATGCATATGTGTCTGTATGTATATGTATGTGTATATATACATATCTGTGTATATGTATGTATAAAGATATAAATTTAGTATATAGAATTAGAATATAAGTTTATAATTGTTTAAAAGCTGTATGTGCATGAGCGCAAAGCTGCAGACAAACTGCAATGCAAATACACCCTGTCAGGTCGACCTCCACGCGGTTCCCCCTGGAAACCATCGTGCTGAATTTTGGATGTATTCATCACAATGGGCTAACTGACCTGTTTTTTCATTATTCACCTATCATCCCTCATGGTACCCCGCCAATGTATACCGTTAGTGCAGGCGAGGTTACCATTACATTATCATCCATTAAAAAAAAAACTGCAATGCAGTTTCGTGGCACTAAGAATATGTATTGTCTATGTAACTGTTTACTTGAAATAAATAAATAAGTTAATTAGAGTTATTTTAATTTCACTACTGTTAGTATGCCTGCCAAATGCATACTACAAAATGGTAGTGGCAGTCATTGACATTTGATGATTTACAACTATTTATAGAGACTCTACAACCCTCATTCTCATATCATCCATTAACTGCCCACTGCTGAACATAGGTCTCCCATCATAAGTGAGGTTTTGGTCATCTGTGGAGAGAGCCCGCAAGAAACTTAATAGTTACTCTTTTAAATTTCTGTAAACATTATGTGTATTTATTCAAATGTACTATGTCTAAAATTACATGGTCGTTTATAAACCTGTGCATGATCGACTAACACCTTGCACATTTGTCATTCAAGTAATTGTTTAGTGTGTAATAGGCTTTATTCAAAAAGTATTTTTAAGAGCAGTTTTAAACATCAATGTGTAGCTGTTAGTCAATCTACACATATGTTGCAACATGTAGTAGCAAAAATGGGAAATGGATTTTTACAAAATATCACCTAATTTAGTAAACTATACCAGAAAGAAACCTCTGGTACCTCTGTCCCATTCCTGTTTCAACCGTAAAGCAATTGTGTTTGCATGGCTGTATTTCGGTTTGAAGGATGGGATATGGCATGAATTTACAAGGTACAGAGGAATAACAGATTCTAAGTTGTATAAAAAAAAAAGAATAGTCGCTACAAAATCTATCCAAACAGATCAGTAAATTCTGCCATACATTACATTATTAATAAATATTGTCAATTTCCAGGCACAACCAGTTGTGGTGTTAAAGCGAACCAAAATATTTGAATGCAAGAAATGTCGTTGTTGTTTTTTAAGGGCCAAAGATTATATATTTCACAAATTGAAACATGCAACACCTATTGTGTAAGTTATTTTATTAGAATATCTGAATAGAATTATTTTGATTATTTCCACTAAATAATCAAAAATCGAAAAAGGAATATTGCGTTGGTTTGGTCATATGAAGAGGATGTATGAAAGAAGAATTATGAAAGAGATTCATCGAGCAAGAATGAATGCAGATGTCGGTAGGGGCCGCCCTAGACGGACGTATGTTGACCAAATAGGCGACGTGCTGAAGAAGGGCCAAATTAAAAGTACCCGTAACTGGCGAGCGTGTATGAAAAGATTGATGAATGTGGAAGAAGCGAAAGAGGTTTGTTTGAATCGAAGCATTTGGCGTTCCATTGTTTCTGCCTACCCTAATGGGAGGCAGATGTGACAGATATGTATGTATGTATGTATTAGTAGTGTATGTATTTATTATTGTAAATATGAGCGTTCCACATCCATTTTTATCCATGAGTTTAGCAGCTTATTTATATACCATTCTACAGCCACAAGAAGCTATCAAATAAGCCATAAATCTAGCAGGCTTTTGACGTAATAGTAAAGCACGTAAACGTGCTTTCAGCACATCAAATAGGTGTCAAATGGACTCATTTCTGTTTTAAAAGTTATGTAACTCCCAGCGCCAAGGTCCAAGTAAGGCGCCAAGATCTGCGATTGTCCAGGTTCCAAAGGGGGCGCTAGAATAACCATGTATCAGTACAAGGTCATACAGGAAGGGTTTACTGTGCAGCGTCATTATGCCACCAATAGAAGCTTGCTGTTGACTCACCGTGCACCTTCAAGCACATTGTATCATCAGAATCATACGACGTTGTCAAAAACTGCTTAAAGAATCTAGGTGGCTTAAAGTTGTCCTGAATGAATATGTATTTTTTAAAGGATAAAAATGGAATGGTACCCCTTCTGCACTATCAGAATACGCTGATGGGGCGTTAGGGAGAGACAATAGATGAGGATTTTATCAGGCTTTTTTTTAATGGGTGACAATGGAATAGTAGCCCTGTCTGCGCTATTGGTATACGCTGGCGGGGCACCAGTGAGAGATAAGCGACAATGAAAGCAGGTCAGTTAGCCCATCGTGATGAATTACACTAGAATTAACCACGATGGTTTCCAGGAAGAATCTGATAGGGTGTATTGCTAGCAATGGGTTCATTAAACCCCATTACTAACAATCCCTTTCCCCCTGATTATATCAGGTTAGTTAACCTATCATGAATTCGACAAGAATTAACCACGTATCACCAAGTATCCAGCAGTAACCGTATGGAGGTCGATCTGATAGGATAAATTGCTAGCAATGGGACAGCCCCATTACTAACAATCCCTTCCCCCCTGAATAGTTACTACCGTATTCTATATGTCACGTCTAATGTGATCTCAATTCGATGCATCAAAAGACAGCCCACAGTTTTTATCTGAATATCTGACAAGTCAATTTATTGTCTTTTTTACCTCTTTCAGATCAGAATTTACACCTCACGCTAATAATGGCTTTAAGACACGCTTTAAATGTGAAGAATGCGATTGGAGATTCGTTGAAAAAAGCACCCTTGAAGCTCATATGGTCGTCCATAAGCCTTTACCCCACATCTGTGATTGTGGTATTGGGTTCTATCTAGAAAAAGATCTAAAAGCTCACATAGGAATATTGCATCGGGACAAAAAAAGACCGATGTGGAAATGTACAATAAATTACTCGGGACCGAAGGCGAAATCGGATTTTTGCATGAAGTCTGAAGCTGATGATCGAAACACAGTAATTAAAAACAATCTTGACAAGATAAATAGAGAGTCTAAATTTAAAAAGATAAAAATAGATACTGTAAAAGAAGTTTCATATCAATGCTCGGCTTGCAATAAAACCTTTCCCGATAAATCTCATAGAGATTTGCACTACAATTCTGTGCATTTGGGTTTACGACTGTACTCATGTAAGATATGCAATAAGGCATACACACAAATTAGTGCATTGAACTTGCATATGAACAAACATAATGGGATTAAAAATTTTAAGTGCCAACATTGCAATAAAAGATTTTTAAATAAATCAGGTTTGGCCAAACATGAGATAATACACACGGGCGAGAGGCCTTTCGCGTGTGACTACTGTCCAGCGAGGTTCAGCGACCCGTCGGCGTGTCAACGTCACGTCAGATTACACACCGGTGTTAAACCGTACGGCTGCGAAAAATGTGATGCTAGATTCAGCGATTCGAGCGCCCTTCGTGGCCACAAAAAGCGCCAGAGTTGTATTAAATATAGTGGGCGTAAGAAGATGAAAAGCAAATACGATAAGAGTGATTGTAACAAGATAGAATGAAGTGATTGTCAGCATTAATAGTGTTCATGAAATTGGGGATATATTACTAGCGTCCCGCCCCGGCTTCGCACGGGTGCAATACTGATACTAAATAGCGCCAGGAGGGTCTAATGGAGGGTCGCCACTCTAGAACCTTTCTTCCCTATTGGTTCTCGGTTCTTCGAGCTATGTGACCAGCCCATTGCCACTTCAGCTTGCTTATCCTTTCATTTATTACAATTCCATTTATTGGCCAAAAATACGTTATTGAAGATTGTCCTCCGGATTTTCAGTCGACGTAATTTCGGCAACACCATAACACATTTTCTTATGTGATACGTCACACTCAACTGAAGGTCTATGTCAACAGTACTCGTTAAGTTGTTCATGAGTTTGAAGATACGTTAAATATGCAGCATACAGCTGCTAATCTTTAGTCTGTCGCCATATTCAGGTGGTCTACCATGAAATGAAATTTCGAATTTTCGGGCTCAATTTCGTGTTTTTGTTCGTCCCGAAATCGACTAAGTAAATGGAGTTTAACATTTTTAATAATTTTCAAAGACATGTTTATGTATTTTTAACATCACATTTCTGTTTCGTTCGTCCCCGAAATTTCGGAAAATATTTCATGGTAGGCCCCAGAACATCTTCGGCAACCGAATATGTTCTGAATGTGGTGTTAGCCTAAGTCTAAAAAAATTCTAAAAATATATTTTCACAATGTTAAATAAAATGTTATTGAAATTTTAAAACGGTATTTTCATTTTATAACCAAATCTATATCCGGTATTCTAAATTGAGACGCCCGTTCTGATTTAGCCGAAACTAGAACAGGCCCTTTAGACAAGTGGCAAACGAATTCAAGGATGGAATCGACATCGCTAGTCTGAAATAGAATGAGATAGCAGCATCGAATGTTTCATTCCAATAACGATTCCATTGCGGGATCCGCTTCCCACTTGTCTAGGGGGCAGGCATTGAGCTGCCGGTGACTGGGAAGATTGCTAGTCGCGAGCGTCAGTCACCGGCGGGTAGGCGCCGTGAGGAATACCGGAGTGTTTTTAGTGGGTAGAAATCCCACAGTACCCATTCGTCGTCCCGCCGGCGGATGTTTCTATTTGGAAGATATTCACTCTAATTAAAAAAAAAAGGGGGCAGTCATTGAAATTTGTTTTCGATTGTGAAACCTGTGGGTCTACCATGAAATGAAATTTCGGACTCAATTTCGTGTTTTTGTTTATACCAAAATCGGACCAATAAATGGAATTTAACATTTTGTTCGTCATACATCCTATCATAAAAGTCCGAAGAAACAATATTTTAATATTTCCAAACGGCATGTATTATGTAATTTTAACATCAAATTTGTGTTTCGTTTGGCTCCGACATTTCGGAAAACACTTCATGGTAGTCCCTCTGGTTTCGGTTAGAAACTATTTGTTAATAATGCAATCAAACCCTTTGCTAGCAATAAACCTTAAATTCCACTCGGTCTCCCCCAGTACTAACCATTGTGGTTATTACCTGAATTCATCACGATCTGCCATTACACCTGAGGCACCAGTGAAGGATGAAGACCCTCACCTATCATCCTTCACTGGTGTCTCACCAGCGTATACCAATAACGCAAGCGGGGTTTTCTTTCCATGTTCACTAAATTACCTAATCCGCAAATTAGTACATTCTGTCTTATTAGAAATCGGCCAACAAATATCTGATGGTGCAAACAAAAACTATATCCGAGCCAATTTAAGAATGTTCCATTTCCTAAGTACTGTGGTAACCTCATTTACCATCAGACTGGCGATATAATAAACTTCACCAGAGGGAGACTTTGTACAAAAGTCGATTGCTTGGATACCTCTGTCCCATTCGTGTGTCAACCGTGAAGCAGTTGTGTTTGCATGGCTGTGTTTCGGTATGAAGGGTGGGATATGGCGTGAATTTACTGGGTACAGAGGAATAACACCTGAGTCCTCAGGAATAGCAACGTATGGGGGGTATCATGGGCGAAATAGTATACTCTGTTATGTCCATGGTACTGCTCATGTCTATAGGCGACGGTTACCACTTTACATCAGGTGGGCCGTCAGCTTGTTTGCCATTCTAAGTTGTATAAAAAAAAACTGCCAACATAGTAGTATAGGGGGGAAGGGATGGAGTTTGACAGCCCCATTGCTAGCAATATGCCCTATCAGGTCAACCTCCGCGTGGTTCCCCCTGGAAACCATCATGAACAATTCTCGTTGAATTCGTCACGATGGGCTAACTGACCTGTTTCATCCTCATCTAGCATCCTTCACTGGTGCCTGTGATGTATCAGCGTATACCGATAGCGCGGGTACCCCACCCGCGCTATCGATATACGCTGATACATCACATACTATTTCATTATCACCTACAAAATAAACATAGTAGTATAAAAAAAAAAAGCTACATTTATCTAAAGGTACAATAATCTAATAAAAAGTAACTCTAATTATCATTTTTTTAATATATTTTAATTGAATTCACTTATAATCGTATTTTCTGATATTGCTCACAACGTTAGGTACATGTTTATTTCCATAACTAATAACGCAACTTAAAATATTTGTAGTCTAGTGTTATTTAATTCATTATAATTGTTACTTCATTTTCTCGCACTGTGTAACTATGTTAAAGTGAATGCTGTGAATACCTATAATAGGCATGTGCATTAATATTGTATTATATTTAATGTTTGTTATACCTCTATGTTATAATGCAATATGCAGTTGGTGTTCGTTAAATAAATAAATAAATAAAGGTGAGAAAACGCTGTAAATACAAATGGGTGACAAACTTTATATTATTCTATTCAAACAATAAGTGTTGTGTTGAATGTTTTAATATCGTATCCATTCCGAAATGCTGTTGTGAGACGATTCCATACTTTGAAGTAAATGTGTACAAAAACGCAAGGTGGAGGACCGCCACTCATCCAGTTCTCAAACTTTATCTTGTAGCAGAAACCGAATAATTCCTCTGATCTCATAATTGCAATTATTTTTATTGTACGTGAATCGAACCCGTAACCATTAGAAAATAAGGCAGTAAGTTAAACCTCCAAAGTCTTCAAATATACTACTACTACTAATCTGAGAGTGGCGTCCTCACGTATCAAGAGTTTTTTTTTTTTATATATACAACTTAGAATGGCAAACAAGCTGACGGCCCACCTGATGGAAAGTGGTAACTGTCGCCTATAGACATGAGCAGTACCATGGACATAAGCCTTGGAGACGTTTTAAAAAGGACGCTGTTGCCCAATCTTCGACCATTAAATTCTCTTAGTCGCTTCTTACGACATCCATGGGAAAGAAAGGGGTGGCCTATTCTATGCCAGGACCACGCGGCAATTATTATTATATATTATATGTTACATATTAATGAATTCATATATCAAAATTTATTATAAAATGAAAAAAATGAAATTTGTGATATTTAAAAAAGAATTATCACAGTAGCAACTGTGTAAGGGAAAAAGAAAGTTCTTTAGACTGTGATATCGCTTATACAATTATTTATTTAGTCCTTGTTAGGGTTGTTACCTAACTCCATTATATTAATTAGTAAGTAAATATAACTTAAAGAAATATATAAATAAATATTTTACCCTTAACCTAGGCGGCAATAAAAAAATATAAATCATTTGCGGATTTACCAGCCCGCCAGACTAGAGTCTAGCAGATTTTAGGAGCGGCGAAATTTGTTGCAAAATTTATTTTATAAATGTAGAGTTTAAATTTCATTGACAAAAACTATAATTAATATGATTGTGTACTAAAATATCGGACTATAGGAATCAGTAGAGTGTAATGAGTGGCAAAATTGGAATAGCCTTCTGATGACAAATGTGTAAATCCGCCACTGCTATTAATAAAATAATTTTATATATCAAAATATTATATTAAAAAAAACCTATTCTAATAATAATAATAATAAATCATTTATTCAGCCACAATACAACAATATTAATTACAATTTTTTTACATTAAAATAATAATTCTAAATCTATTTTGTTTTAACGCGCCACCTACCTACTTATGCTTTAATTCCTTCTACCCAAAGGTTATCTGGAAGAGATTGCTTAGCAATAAGTCCACCTTTTGTACTACATTATACGTATTGAAAATTGTTCATCAAATCCTGTTATGTTGGTGCAATAAAGTGTTAAATAAATAAATAAATAAATATGTGGCAGCAGCTGAAATGGTCCCCACTCAGCGTAAGCTGCAACGTGGTGCTACAGCGCTTATTTCCTGTGGGGCCACCACTCGATAGGTAGCACTCGAGAAACAGGATGTAATTTATAACACACTGGACCTTATAGAATAAAACTGAATATTCTAATACTATTATAAACATGAAAGTTTGCGAACGTTACGGATATTTGTTATTCTTTAAGATGTAAATGGCTAAACAGATTTGAATGAAATTATGTATATACGCGAGTAGGTATAGGCGTATGTAAAGGGCGGATAATGCTTACCCCAAGATCAGGAGTAGAGTTTTCAACTATGGAGAATAATATATCTAAGAGTATTTATGCGGCTTTTTTAACAAATTTTTAGATTTTTTGTCTGTCTGTTTGTCTTGTATTTTTTTGTTTGTTCCGGTATCAATCATGTAAAAGCACCGAATTGGATGCAATTTTCACTGTTGTTTTTGTAAGACCAACTTAAAATTTGGTATATGCAATATCTTCATACGCTATCTAAAAATAGTGTAGATATTTCATTGGTTTTTCTATTTCTGAAATCCATCATCCATCAATCCGTAAGAAGTAAGAGACAAAAAGATATTATATTTTAATTAGCTAAAATAGTAATGTTTAGACAACCCTAAACTATTAGACAAATCGACGTGTTCGCCGCACCGCGTCGCTCGATACGCGCGGCGCGCGCGTACCGTGCGGCGCGGCCGGCCGGCGCGGCAACCACCACGCCGCTTGGCCCCTAGCCTTACTCAGTTTACATCACACTCAATATACACATTACACGTTCCAAATTTGAAATAAAATAATATTCCATACGATACGAAAATTTGATTTTGGAACTTGAGTATCTAACCATTTATATATACGTGCCTACTTAATGAAATCCAACAAACTGTGAAAGGTAACTTCAAAATTCTTATGTGTTTATTTAACTTTATTTTATATAACAGGAAAGTCAATTTTAGCTGTCTCTCCCGCACTATCTACTACCTAACTTTTTTCAGCTAAGCAATCATAAATACTCGTCACCAATTAGTTTGATAATGAACGAAATCGACTTGATAAAAGAGGTCGAGAAACGACCTATTTTGTATGATAAATCCGTGAGTGGATTTAATAAAACAAAGCTTAGAGACGAAGCGTGGAAAGAAGTAAAAGATGCCCTCAACGTATCAGGTAAAATCTTGTTTAATTTATTATAAATTAATATTTATTTAGTATTGTATCACTCCTGTGTGAATGGACAGATCATAATACGGGGAGACGCTTTCAAGTTAGTAAACGGCATATGCTATTCCTACTGCAGTCATTGATAATGGCGATGTGCTATGATAACACTTGACCATAAGACCAACCGTATGCTTGACCACCGTATAATAGATCAATCTTACTCTAGATTTAGTGAAAACAGATCTAAATACAGCGATTCAAATCGGAACCATTAGATCCGTGGAATCAGTGAAATTTAAACGATCCCATAGCCTTCACATCCATTTAACAATAGGAAAACCAAAGAATTAAACCATATCTACATCTCATACCCTACAGCCTAAATGGTCGCGTACTACGCGGTTTCAGAGATTGTTTCCCCCACGAACACTCAGATTATGGAAGCTCCCTACCGAGGTTTTCCTAAGAAACTTCAGCATGGGGTTTTTCAAAAGGGGATAAAGAGGTGTCTTCAGGGTCGGCAACGTGCACGTAATACCTTTGGTATTGTAGGCGTTCATTGGCTATGGTAACCGCTTACCGTGGGCCGTATGCTTGTTTGCCACCTGAGTGGTATAAAAAAAATCTAGATCTTAAATAAATAATTAAATGATAAAAGATGGCGTATCACCACACAGCGAATACCTTTTATTTTAAGTTACACCTTTAAGAACTCGAATGTGATAAATTGCATCCAATTCGATGCAGCAGTTTTACATGATAGCAAAACAAACATGCAGACAGAAAAAAAAATCAATTATTGTTTTGACTGCTATTGCTCTAGTATTAATTTCTCTTAAATATTTCCCACGAACAGGCATCGCCAAATTTTTTATGTAACTTAGAATGGTAAACAAGCTGACGGCTCACTTGATGGTAAGTGGTAACCATCGCCTATAGACATGAGCAGTACCATGGACATAACAGAGTATACTGTTTCGCCCATGATACCCCACATGCGTTGCCATTCCTGAGGACTCAGTTGTCTCTACACCCAGCTCTAAAAATAAAATTTCTATTTGACATCACAGCGAAATCTTTATTGTAGGGGGGAAAGGGATTGTTAGTAATGGATACTGAGAATCCCATTGCTAGCAATATACCCAACCAGGTCGACCTCCTTGCGGTTCTCCCTGGAAGCTATCATAGTTAATTCCTGATGAATTCATCATGATGGGCTAACTGGCCTGTTTTCATTCTCAACTATCACCCTTCACTGGTGCCCCTTCAGCGTATATCGTTAGCGCAGGCGGGGTTACCAATTCATTATTATCCATTGAAAAAAATATGACTGGTAGTTCGCGTTACTAACACTGCCTTCCTTCCAAATAAAAATATTACGTTAGATCGATTTAAAAAAATAGCAGCTCAGAATCGGTCTCATTGTCAAGATACAATTTTATTATATCAATTAAATAATGCTCTTCTTTAGTAGTAATGTATTTGTATGTAGCAAATTTTTTTTATATCTATTTCAGAAGGAGAATGCAAGAAACGCTGGCGCTCCCTCCGCGACTCGTTCATCAAACTGCGCCGGACACACGGCGGGCGGACCAGGTGGCCCTATCACCAGGTGATGCGGTTCCTGTTGCCGCATATCGAACCTAAAGAATCCGGGTATGTATACGAACATTTGCTTCTAATAAAAAAAAAATAACCAAGAATCATGCAAACATTAACTGTATTTTTTGCTCGCCATTTTTAACCAACTTTAGAAAAAGATTTTCAATTACATTCAATTACGTTGCGCAAGGTAATATTATATGATACGTTTGCCATTTCAATATCGTTTTAGATGATTCTTTTTTGATTGAGATATCTACCTACTAAGAATACGTAAATCTCTATAATAATTTTAACAATTAATATTTTGTCATCGCGTTTAGATTCTTTATTATAGTTAGATTTTTTACTTTTTACGTCTATATTTTAGGCGATTTTTTTAAATACATTTTTAAACAATTTCACAGTCATTTTGTGGAAGTATTGCGACAAACACTCCCACAATAATCACTGTAACATTATTTAAATGCTTAGTTTATATATTATAAATAACACATCCAGACACTTATGTTCTAAGGATTTAATTTACTCATTCCAGTACCTACAAAAAAGACGACGACTCCGACGCTGAAGAGGAGATGCGCCAGCGCGCCATACAGAACCTTCCAGACCTGTCGTTCACACACGACAAATTCGATGACGACGAGGACTCGCCCCCGTCCCCTAAAAAGGCCCGCCTCAACTCCACAGATGAGGAGAACCCTTGTCAATGTAACAGAACGGACCCAGATGAGCTGTTTCTTCTCAGTTATGCCCCCATTCTGAAAAGGTTGAACGCTAAACAGAACGCTGGGGCGAGACTCAAGATCCAACAAGTTTTGTACGAAGCGGAGTTTGGTGGCCAGATGGAGCTGCCGTATGTGACGCCAGCTAGCGACTGCAGTTTTGATAATATCGACGGTCCTGTTGAATAAATGCGATTAAAACGATTCTGTTAACTGTTTTATTAATACAGAATAGGTACCTAATCCATAAATACAGAAGGGAAAGGGATTTTTTCTAATAGATGATAATGGAATGGTAACCACTCCCGCGCTATCGGTATACACCGGCGAGGTACCTGTGAGGAATGATAAGTGAAAATGAAAGAGCAGGTCAGTTAGCCCACCGTGATAAATACACCTTGAAATTCGAGGGGAGAAGGAATTGTTAGTAATGGGGAGGTTAATCCCCATTGCTATCAATATACACTATCAGACCTCGACCTCCACGCGGTTCCCCATAGAAACCATCGTGACTAATATATTGTTGAATTCATCACGATGGACTAACTGACCTGCTTCATTTTCACCTATCATCCTTTACTGGTGCCCCGCCAGTGAATACCGACAGCGCAGGCAGGGTTACCATTCCATTATTATCCATTAAAAAAAAAACAAATTTGTAAATAACATTCAAAGTGAAAAACAAAATAAGGTAAGTAATTAAATAATATCTAAACCAATGTATTTTTTTTTCTTTTTTTTTTTTATTCAATAGACTCGATTTCGTTTGTTATTCCAATGACTCGGCATTAATTTGTAATTTAAATAAATCGTTATAAAGCCTGTACCTTTCTAATATAAATGTAATCACTCATGATTTTAATAAAGTCCTTACATAGACATAACTATGTGTCTACAAAGCACATATCGACGGTGAACTTGGTCATTATATTCTGCGATTTGCTAATAGTATGAAATGTCAATATTTAAAATTTGTAAAACAAATCACAGCAATTAAATCGTAATTGCTTAGCTTAGGAATGACTGACATAGTCTATTGCATATTCAGATTTTTATGCATTGACACAAAAATTTATATATTTTAATATAAATTTATTAATTTCCAGAGATGGTATACGTGATTTTTTTATGCAACTTAGTATGGCAAACAAGCCGACGGCCCACCTGATGGAAAGTGGTAACCGCCGCATGGTAACATGAACAGTACCATAGACATAACAGAGTGTACTGTTTCACCCATGATACCACCCCCCTCCTCCCAATTGTTGCCATTCTTGAGGACTTAATTGTTATTCCTCTGTACCTTGTAAATTCACTGCCATATTCCACCCTTCAAACAGAAACACAGCTATGCAAACACAACTGCTTCACGGTTGAAACACGAATGGGACAGAGGTATCCAAGCAACCGATTTTTGTACAAAGTCTCCCTCTGATAACTACGAAGGTGGCAAATAAGTATACAGCCTGGCTTATGGTAAACGGTTACAGTAGTAGCAGTAGAGGGCATCAGTGATAGATGATAGGTGAAGGTGAAGGTGAAGGTAGGTCAGTTAGCTGATCGTGCAGAATTCATAAAGAATTAACCACAATGGTTTCCAGGAGGAACCGCGTGGAGGTCGACCTGATAGGATGTATTGTTAGCAATGGGCTGTTAGAACCTATTACTAACAATTCCTTCCCCCCCCCCCCCCATAGCTATTAATACACTCTATCAGATCGACGTCGCGCTTCTTCCTGGAAACTATCGTGTTCTATTCCAAGTGAATTTATCACAATAAGCTAACTGACCTTTTCATTCTCACCTATCATCCTTCACTGGTGCCCTGCCAGCATATACCGTTAGCGCGGTTACCATACCATTATCATCCAATAAAAAAACACAACTATAACTCCGCGCGGACCGCGAGCAGTTGCGTCTCGCGCGCTATATAGGGTGGGCTAAACGTTAAGTCCCGTATGGGGACAATAAACTGATGGAACATTCTTAAAATAGCATAAAATATGCAATTTTTGCAATTTTTTGTATTTAAAATACTAAATATTTTGCAGTAGAGAGTAATGAACCATTGTATTATAATACCTATACCTTTTTTAAGCAACTTCTAAAAGGAAAAAGTTCTATGTGTACATTACTTGATATATGTACGTAAATACATATTATAAATACACATATTTACCATTCTGGACCTATTTTAATAATATAAATCGATAAAAATACCTCTTATTTCGATTTCATAATAATTTGCTGTTTTCAACAAAAACTAAACAAACAAAAAAATAACTCTTTTAAAAAAAAGGAGGTACGGTATTTTTTTCTTTTTTATGTTTGTAACCTCATAACTCCGTCACTTGTAAACCGATTTGGAAAATTATTTTTTGTCTAAAAGAATATACGCACTGGATTGGTCCTATAGAAATTTTATCAAAATGGACTGGGTAGTTTAGTTTTTAGACCAAAATAACTGGCTCTATCACAATTGACGTCGTTTTTTTTTTTGTGGCAATCTGTGTTATATGTGCAGCAAATCCCTATACATTTTCCAAAATAACATTTTGCATGAAATTATGAATGAATGCAACGTTTAAAACGTTGGATTCAAACTGATTTATATTTAATGATGACGCCGTATACACTACAGAGTCTATGTACACATAGAGCATACTATAAAGAAAAAAAAAAGATTTTGCTTTTGAATTTTTGATGAAATGTATATTCTAATTTTAATATTGTGGTCTTTTTTTTCTCGAAAATAGGTATGCAGTAGGATATATATGCATATATATTTATTTATTTATTTTTTATTACAAATTCTATTTTTATCTTTATTTGATATAATCCCTTGTTCTATTTTTGAATTTGTGTTTTAATTTAGTATTGTGCGTTCGTTCGTAATACGTTGCAATCAATTATATTTTCTATTATTCCTATCTACTGTCGACTGGTAGGTAGATAACGCTATATGGTGTTTAGTGTGCCATTTACACTATCTAAATGTGTTGAAGTTAAATAAATAAAATAAATAAATAATCATCAGTAACCTATCACAATCTCGACTGTATTGATATTAGAAGTATAAAGTAGTATGAAAAAAAAATTTTTTTTTCTATATTTTTTAATAGTATATTAAATTTAATTACACTTTGTTTTTGCTATTTTTATGCAAAACAGAATGAAAAAAAAAAGTGACGGCCCAAACGATGGGAAATGGCAATGGTCGCTAAAACATGAACAGCACCATGGATTTCGCAATTTCATTAAATACATATATTTGTTGTTATTACATATATTTCGTTTAATTTACGTCGACGTCAAAAAGTTAATAAGATTTTTATTTACAGACCAGTAGGTAGTAATATCATATTTGCTTGTCAGCGAACAGCTTTTGTGGATATTACTTACTGCGTATACGATTACGTACGTATGTGTGATGATACTAGCTGTATCCCATGGCTTTGCCTGAAGACCATGTTCCACAATTTGCATGTATGGTAACCCCGCCTGCGCTATTGATATATCAGTGTGAGAATAGATAAGAATGAAAACTTTCCATCAGATGGGCCGTCAGCTTGTTTACCTTTCTAAGTTGCATAAAAAAGTAATTTTTTGCAATTTCATATATTAATTCGAATCGAATTAGAATATTGCTTATCACCTGAAGTAATCAGAAATCTGGTTTTTAAACAACGACCCTGCATTGAGGCTTATTGTTGAAAAAAAAAAACAACAGACACGTTCTGTTTTGTTATTTGTTTACTCTCTTATAACGTGCCAAATTGTGATTTACGTACTGTTAGAACTTCATTGACGAAATGTTTGTAATCAATGTCTTTACTTAGGTGTATATCTAATTAGGTATTATCAATTTTCTATAAGCTCTTATCATTTGTTGAACAGCCGTTATGAGTGTCATACGTCATGACTATGGAAAATAATATGTTTTGTGTAAACAATAAAAGTACACACATTGGCAACAAAACAATTTATTGTATTATAAAATATTCTCTTTCAGTATTCTCACGGTATTTGTAAACGACAAAAATATTAGATATCACTTTTTGCTTATACTAAACAATAATAAATAGCTAGATGACTACTTATTTATACATACAATACCTATCTGTTAAATTATTTTAATTACCCAATCAACACTTTACAGCTTTTTTTATTACAAAATTGTACCTACTTGAATTGTAGTTTATTAATTCAACTATTATTTTTTATACCTGTTGTACTTGCACATACGGTGTCGATGGCACGGTTCTATCGTTTAATGTTAAATCTTTACCATATCTCTGCAACAATTCCAAGACAATGCCATTGGTCCATCCAAACCCATCTTGGACGCTATACTCTCCACCGCTACCTTCGTGGCCTGGTTTCATAACATTATATTTCTCGAACATCTTTTGCCATGTTGTATAACCTATATAATTCGCACGTATCCAAATTTTCGCTTGATCTTTCGCCATTTGTATCGCTTTTTCATCTCCACTATTATATAGACCACCGATTATGATGCTTTGAAGTGGCGGCCATGCATTGGGAAAGTCCCATTGCTCACCCGAATGTGAAATTGATGTTGGTACTCCACCAGGAAAATCCATAGCCCCTGAAGATGAAAGATACTTTGCCAAACGAGCCCCATACTCAGACGCTTGATCTACCTCGACAGCACGAGTCCATAATGGGGTAGCACAGCTTGGATAAAATTGTTTCCTAAATGCTTTGGCTTTGAGATCATAATCATACCAAATACCATCTTCAGAGTCCCACAAAACATTCGCGATTGCACTTCGCCAATACTTAGCGAGACTCCACCATTTTTGAGCTTCCCGCCGATTTTTTAGATGATTTCTAAAATCTCCCGCAAATTCTAGAGCGCCGGCGAAAATTGAATTTAAATCTACAGGCAAGATAGACGTAGGATGAACACTGGTCAAGTTAACATCTTTGTTGGAAAACATAAACCAGCGAGACGAAAAGTCCCATCCACTTTCTGCTGCGCTTTTAATTTGTAAATAAAATTCCTCACGCATGTCATCATTTGGAAAGATTTGAGCATTTGTGAAATCTTCATAATATGATTCAGGACGAGGGCCATTGTTGGTTTTGTCAGCAATGTATCGCAGAAGCATGTATTTTTTTCCTTTAAGTTCAACCTCAATTTTTTTATTGGTAAGCCAATAATGTAACTCTTTTTCAACGGTGGCAATGTGTTTCGCTAACCACGCCAGATCTCCTGTAGCTGTAAAGTAGCTTGCCACCATAGCAGTGAGCAAAGGTGGATGACTTCTTCCGAGGTAGTATAGCCGGCTACCATTCGGCATGTAACCTAATTTTTCTACTAAATACAAAAGATTTTCAATCATACCTTTTGCTGTTTCAGTCATGTTACTTATAATAAGGCCTCGTACCATCCAATACGAATCCCAATAATATAATTCCTTAAATCGTCCACCAGGTACAATAAATCCATTTGGCACATATATAAGACTAGAGCGACCGGGATGTTCCATAATATCTGGATTTACTTTCCGACCCAATCGAGCCCAGATTTGAATCACATCCTTTGCAAACTGTTTTAATTTTGGATCGGAGATTTGTTCAAGAATTGGTGGATTGGCATCAAAGTCAGGCGGGCTCCAGTGTGATAGTTCATTTCCATCGACGAAATATTTATTAACGAATTGTATAAGCGCTTCTCTTGATGGATTTTTATTTGTAGCGTCCATCAGTTTAGCGAAGTTGTCTAACGTATCATTTTCTGAGTACACGAGTTTCAAATCCACAAATGTTTTAGAGTCAGGATAGATCCTTGCCAGCTGGACTTTATGAAGGAGGTCACCAGAGCAGTATATGGAAGAATTGCACACATCTATTTTAGTAAATGCTTGTACATACGCTCCTAGCAGTCCCAGAACTGGATAGAAGGACAATCGTTGAAACTTCAACATTCTGTCTGTGTTTGGAACTCGTTATTCGTTGCTCAATTGGTTACGGATGTTGGCAGCGATAAACATAACCTTTGCGCGAACTATCGTGATGCGATGACAAGTAGCGCGGGACGAATGACCGCGGATTCCGTCCGCAATCTATGTTATATGAAGCCATTATAGTTAAAATAATAATAATTACTAATATTACTGAATGCGTGTCGCTGTGTTTCTTCTAACTACCATCACAGTTGATATAATTGACAAGATGCCGAAATAGCCGAGCGAATCCCTACTTTCACTCATAACACTAGGGGCAATGAGTTGCGCGCACACGTGGCCTCTCAAGGTCCTGACCTTAAAGCGTTGCCGGCAAACATAATTTTCGAAAATAAACAAAACGCGCGTGCCCTCTCTACAAACTCAAAGAGGAGACTGTCTAGTTTAGCTGTCAAAGTGAATGACATAATAACGTAAGGAGATTGCTGGTAACCTACTTATTATCTATGCCTGCAGCATTATCTTTTGCAATACTCTTTTATAATGTATGAGCAATTTACGATAAGATTTATCTTTAGATTTATTTCAATTAGATATCTGTATATAAACATGTCTTGTATAACTGTTTACAACACTAGCACCTCCTTTTAAGCTACTAATATGTATTATAATTAGGAAAGTTTGTAAAAACGTTTGAACGTTTAGATATTTGTTACACTAAACGGCTAAACAGATTGAAATGAAATTTAACACGTGAGATAATTATACCCTAACTTTATATATACTGATTAATTTATTTATTTACTCTTCTTTTATATAAAGGTCCAAAAGGTCTTATCGCTAAAGCAATCTCTTCCAGAAATAGAAAGAACACATAAAAAAACAATTTATAATGACAGGAAGTAAGATTGAATTAAATTATAAATTGTTTTATTTATTTTGCTTTAAAAGTACATGTACATATGTGTATAATGCAGACTTATTGCTAGAAGCATTCTCTCCCAGTCAACCTTAGAGAAGTATCAGAATACTCGAATGCAGTACTTGTAATAATTTATATACCTAGATAAACAAATAAATATACATCAATAACAAATACACTTACACGTATGTAAGATATTTTTAAGTATAACGTATTAAATCCGCCTTTTGTACCAGATATTTTTTTTTGTAATGTGGTCAATAAAGAATAAATAAATAAATAAAATAAATATTCTAAATTGTACACGAAGATGAGAATAATAGACAGTACTTACGTGATTCACGTGGACAAAGCCACGGGAAATAGCTGTTATAAAAAATTGCATGAAGCCAGGATCAATTCTCTACAGTTTTAAAATATTCAATAAGCCATTTACAATCTGGGTTTCTGCAATTACGTACGTATATTAAAATAAAAATATTGATGAATGTGGAAGAAGCGAAAGAGGTTTGTTTGAATCGAAGCATTTGGCGTTCCATTGTTTCTGCCTACCCTAATGGGAGACAGGCGTGACAGATATGTATGTATGTATGTATGTATTAGTAAATATGAGCGTTCCACATCCATTTTTATCCATGAGTTTAGCAGCTTATTTATATACCATTCTACAGCCACAGGTATGTCACAGTAATCACAACATTAAAATAAATATTAAAATAAAAACAAACTTTAATTCTTCGTCGCGTTTATCCTGTTTTGAATAAAAATATTTTATTTCCTCTGAATAAGACATGAGGAAATAGTGACGAAGTGACGACCTAACAAAGTTGTATATTCCTACTAAATTACGTTGGGGGAAGGGATTGTTAGTAATACGGACTACCAGTCCCATTGCTAGCAATATACCTTGTTGGGTCAACCTTCACGTGGTTCCCCCTGGAAACCATTGTGCTGAATCTCAGATGTATTCATCACGATGGGCTAACTGACCTGCCCTTTCATTCTCAGCTATCATCCTTCACTGTTGCCCCGCCAGCGTATATCGTTAGCTCAGGCGGGGTTGTTATTCCATTATCACCCATTAAATAAAATATATTTTATAAATAACAAATTGGACAATGTGAATTTAATGAATTTACTATGATTGTACATATTAACGCCATCTTACTTCTAATACAATTGACAACACTATTTATTATAAATAGCTTATAACAGTAACGTTAGAACTTTGTAATACTATATGAGAGCACGCTTAAATTATCCATTGTTATTAATATTATGAACTTATTACATACATCTGCGCAAACAACTCCCATTTAAGTAATTGTATCTTTCCATCCATTGATACAGATGGCGTTAAATCAAATACAGTGTCAGTATGAAATAATAGAATTTTAAAAATTCCTTTGTTTAATTTATGATTTTGTTCCGCCAAAAAAAAAAATAGTGACTTCAAAAGTGACAACATTAACATTTTTTTTTATACGACTTAGAATGACAAACAAGCTGACGGCCCACCTGATAGAAAGTGGTAACCGTCGCCTATAGACATGAGCAATACCATGGACATAACAGAGTATACTGTTTCGCCCATGATACCCCCCATGCGTTGCCATTCCTGAGGACTCAGGTGTTATTCCTCTGTACCCAGTAAATTCAAATGATCATTAAAAACGATCAAAGGAGCGCACAAAAATAAACGCAGTCGATTGTAAAAAGAAAGATTGGCACAGGTAGACATTGTAACATACATTAAAAAGCAAACTTCAATCACAGTGATGCCACTGAATTATTTTCTTCTTCCCCTGAATTTCCTGTTTCAACCGACTTCAGAAAAGGGAAATTTTCTATTCGGTTGTACTTTTTATGTTTGTAATTTCAAAACTCCGGCATTTATAAACCAATTTAAAGAAATATTAATTCATTTGAAAGTATATATTTTCTGATTGATCGTTTAAATCGATTCAGTAGTTAACTTTTTAATAAAAATAAATGGTTTTTAGTCGGTTTTATATAACATAATATTTTTATTTTTTATACAACTTAGAATGGCAAACAAGCTGACGGTCCACCTGATGGAAAGTGGTAACCGTCGCCTATAGATATGAGCAGTACCATGGACATAACAGAGTATACTGTTTCGCCCATGATACCAATAAAGTAGTAGGGAAAAAAGAAACAGACTTTATACACAGCCTTTTATTTAGTGTATTTTTATATACTACTTACATTAAAATATAAATAATACTTGTCGACAATTTTCTATAATAATTCGCTAGTCAAAATAAAACAATATAACCAAGAAACTATTGAAAAAACATTGCGGTGTCGCGGATACAAAATGTGGAATACATTAAATTTATAATATTTCAATAGAGTGTTAGGTATTAATTTTATTTTTTAATTTATAATACAAATAAGGATGGGAAACAAATTGATGGTACATTGAATAAAAAATGGTAACCAATACATGCATTACATACATATATAAACAGCACCATGGTCATCACAGAATACACTGTTACATTCATAATACCTCTCACGCGTTGCTGATCTTGAGACGATGTATTTCAAGTAAATACTATATCTATTATTATTACTGAAAGACTTTTCCAAACAGAAAAACCTGTGACGCTGCGATTTTTTCATGAACTTTTACTATATCTAACTAACCTATTCATTATATAAGTTTTTACACATCTATTTATATAATAATTATTCCTAAATATGTACTAAGATATTAAGTAATAGGATTCGATTTGTCTTAATTACTTCTATATTTTAATACTTCTAAAATAAATAGTCACCATTATATCGACATGTAGTAACTAATTTATAATGTTAACTATAATTCATTTGTAATGTTATTTTTATTTTATAATTCAAATCTTATTGTTATTATATATTTTATTAATTTCAAAATTATAATGTAAATATTGACTTGCCATTGTGTGACGAAAACTGTTACATTGGTTAATAAAGAAATATGAAATATGAAATAAATATTTCAAAACTTATAGTACACCTACACTGGTAATTATAATGTTTTTTATATATATAATAATGAACGCTTTTTATTATAATTTTTACTTACTCAATTTCAGAGAGTATTTATTTTACGTGATACTCATACCTAATTATATTTATACACATCAATAATTTTAAGTACAATATATAATGCATCAGTAGGTTTCATTTTTGTTTGGTACTTTTAAAATTTATAAAGTAGGTTGTATAAATTTGTAATTAAAAATATTTACACCTATATAATGTATTATTGTAGGTGATAATTATACATTTAAGAGATCGTTTCTATTTTAATAATTTGTAGGTATATAACTGTTATTTTGTTCTCACAACAAGATAAGTTAATTTATGGCACTACGATCCTAAGAATAATAGAAGTATGTTCTAATAATTCTATTAAAAATCACAACCTTCCAGTTTCAATTATAACTTTTATACAATACATTATACTTATATGTATAACTAAATTTTATTTTTGTTTTAACTATTATTTGCGTTCCGAAAATATAAAACATTGTCAACTATCTGAATTACTCAGTAATTCTTCTGTATAAATTTACTATATACTTAGTACAATATTGGACTAAATTATATCTCAAAAGATTGCAGAGGCGGTGTATTCCATATCATAAAAATATATACTTATTCTACATATTTTACTTTTCATCACTTCCCGAATCTTGCAAATCAGAAGAATCACTTGAACTTGAACTGTCCACACTCGATCCTCCATATTTATCAGGGTTATCAACAGCTGTCAACCGTCTACCGTATTTGGTAAGAAACTCTAAGACAACTCCATTCGACCAGCCGAATCCAAATTGTACTGTGTATTCTCCACCTCCACCGAACCTTCCAGGTGTTTCAGCGTCATACTTTTCGAACATCTGTTTATTTTCCGTGAATCCCTTGTGACAAGCTCGAACCCACGTTTGCGCAACGTAAAAAGCCAACTCCTTAGAATCGTCAGTACCTAACGCTTCCAGAGCATTTACTACCATACTGACTAGTGGAGGCCATGCGTTCGGGAAATCCCATTGCTCTCCGCTATTGATCAAGGATGCCGGGATTCCGCCTGGATATTTCAAACCCGGTGAATTACTCAAGTATTTCATTACACGCGGTGCGTGCTTCTTAACTAGACGCTTATCCACCACTCCCATCCACAGCGGTGCGATATTCGTCGGGTAGAAATATCTGCGGTGCTGATTGTTGCTTATATCGTAATCATACCATATACCATGTTCTTCATTCCACAGTACCTCTTCGATAGAACTCTTCCATTGCTTTGCCATATAAGCCCAATGCGCTGCATGTAGTGGCTGCTTTAGAATTGCTCTAAAGTATGCCATATTTTGAAGAGCATTTGCAAATATTGCATTCAAATCTACTGGAATTATATCTCGTGTACGAATCGTTTTCAAATCACCAGTATTTTCTCCATTCGAATCGATAAACCATCGAGAAGAAAAATCCCAACCGCTCTCAGCGGCGCTCTTCAAATCAATATAGAACTCATTTCTTCGTTCTTGTGTATCGAACTGCTGGGCATCCGTGTAATCTTCATAATAAGATTCTGGTCGAGGCCCGAGACTCGGAGCGAAGTATCTAAGTAAAGTGTAAGATTGTTCGTCCTTGTCGAATGCAACAATTTTTGTATCCAACCAGTATTTTAATTCGTCTTCAAGAGCATTAATATTAGCTTTCAGGAATTCTATATCTTGCGTCTCTCGAATGTAAAGTGACATCATAGCAGTTAATAGCGGCGGTTGACTCCTCTCTTGATAATACCATCTGCTACCGTTGGGAATGTGTCCGAACTTCTTCAAAATTTCTATAAGATTCTCGATTACACCTCTTGCAGTATCCCGCATACCACTTATAAGCAAACCTTCTATTATCCAATACGTGTCCCAATAATATATTTCCTTAAATCTTCCACCAGGAATTATGAAACCATTTGAAACTGGCACAAGGCTGTACTGTTCAGGTTTCTCAAATACCTCCGGTTTGACTTTTCTACCAAGAATGGGCCAGACCCCATTAATATCCTTGCCGAATTTCTTCAATTGCTCATCTCGAATACTCTGAAGGAAAGCGGGATTGTCCGTGTGATCTTCAGGTGTCCAGTCCTCGAGTTCGCTGGTCGCATCGAAATATTTATCGACGAATGATTTCAGCTGTTCAGCAGTTGGATTATTATTCGTCTCATTCAATAGATCATCGAATGCCGCCAAAGTGGTATTTTGATCATTACGCATTTGGAGATCGACAAAAGTCTTCGAGTCCTTGAAGATACGTTGAAGCTGCACATGGTGTAACAGTTGACTGTCACAGTAAACCAATTTGCTGCAGGACGGCGGAAGATCATCCACGAAAGCACCCCTCACCGCTACCACCAAGAAGACAAGCCGCCACATCTGAAATAGACAAAAAAATGACGTATGAGTATGTTGAATGTGAACACCGGAATGAATCTAGAATTTGTATATGTAGACAGATAAATGTAGGTTTTTTTTTGTTATATCACAAAGGTGGCAAATAAGCACATAGTCCGTCTGATGGTAAATGATCGCTGTAGCCTATGGACGCCTGCAACACTAGAGGTGTCACGAGCGTGTTGCCAACCTTAAAGAAACCTTAATATACCCTTTTTTAAAGAACCCCATACTGTAGTCTCTAGGGAAAACCTCGGCAAGGAGCTCATTCCAAAGTCTGAACGTTCGTGGGAGAAAATTTCTCTGAAACCGCACTGTACATGATCATTTAGGTTCAAGAGTATGAAGATAAATTCCCTATCAATAGCAAGCGGTGCGATGATAAAAGGTGGTTGTAGGCATCATTCCAAATAATTCTTCAGAACACAATCCGTTATACAAACGGTAGAACGCACAAAGGAAGGCAAAGTCTCACCTTAGACTTAAGGTCTCGATACCGCCTGTGTGCTTGGGATCGTCAACAATCCTCATCTTTAAACCGAGTCAAGAGGACCAGGCTGGTAATCAGGTGCTCCGGTCCACAGATGAGAGCATTATTCCATAAGGGGCCGGACTTGCGACTTGTACAACAAAAGTATAGGATGTTTACAAATTAATCGGTTACAAAACAAGAAAAAATGACTCCAGGATATAATTTTTTTAGTATCGCATATTTTTATTTTATTTTATTTTAATAAAGTACCGAACGACCTTTTTATTTGATTATTCAAAATTCAGAACCGCATTTATATCTGAACAGGTTTGCCATTAGGTATCTACAAACATTTTAAATTATCGTATGTTTTATGGTATGTGTTTTTTATAGCGGTTGCATATGTGTATGGTTTATCGTTGCATCCTTTTAAGAGTACAGGTATATGATGGTCGTACAATATCTATTCCATTTAAATATTTGTGTAAATTATTGTAATATATTGCCAAAAATGCTTCATGACCTACAAGTGTAATATTTAATTTCCATTATAATATTTATCATACTTTCAAAAATATATAATATTTTTTAATGTATAACCAAATAAAACCATAAGAATAAAGATAGGAACTAATATCGTCATAGTCGTAGCATACTGACGGATCTGACAAAGATTACATATAAAGATCCGTCAGTATTCTACGACTATGAGGATATAGGATTTATTTATTTACTGTTATGACGTAGGTCTGGACAATGTTAAAATTAATAATATTGCAATAAATTGAAGAATTCTAATTGCTTTAATACACTTTACAAAATGAAGGAGCTCTCAATACGACGGTAAATTTAGGAGTTGAATCTTTAATATTTATTTTTGCAATCTTAATATAATTATTACTATTCCTTATCTCGTAGATGCCATCTTTAATCGTGTAAGAGTATCGCCCTCGGGTGTTAACAATTAGCAAGCGGCATTCAATATACAATTAAGAGAGTCTTTTACAAAAAAATCGACTACAATTGTGGCAAAACCACTTCTTTTTATTAAAAAAAAAACTAAATTACTGAGCCGATTTTGATAAAATTTCTATAGGATCAATCTGTAAGTATATCTTTTCAAATAAAAAAAATAATTTTCCGAATTAGTTTATAGGTGACGGAGTTATGAGGTAACAAACATAAAAATAATACAATCGAATTTAGAACCTTCCTCTTTTTGAAGTTGGTTAAAACCAATTAGGTGCTTAGCTCACCTACTTTCTACTTATTTTTATAAAGACATTGGCACTTTTGTTTTCCGACCTAAAGAGTATTGTTGAGTGACAGAGAACGCTATCAGAAATTATGTACAATCTGTGTATACAGGTGCACAGCTGTGGAAAAAGCCCGCCTAGAGAAGTGCCGCACTGATCGATTAAAGGTTACACAATGATTTTAAAGAAAACACATTGAACGCTCAGTAAACAATTGAAATAACGTTCCAAACACAGCTCACGTGGGCCAATTCGCCACATTAACAAGTATTTTAAAAGATAGAGTGGTTAAAAATAAATAATTCGTACTTGTCATTTGCGCGGAAGTGTTTGGAAGTTGCAAATATAAATAAAGGCAAACATATCTAATTTACTCTATAGGCTACTTCTCGCGGGTTTGCCTGCATGAATCAGTATATAAAATATCCAGTGTATCAAGTCAAGATATACTCTGTACGCGTGTTCCATAATTTTATTCAAATCGGTTCAGCCGTTTAAGTTGACTGAGTAACAAACATACGAAAATCCAAATATCTTTACAAGTTTCAGTTATATTAGTAAGATCATTGTGGAAGATGTTCATAAGAGAGAAGAGGACAGTAAAATCCGTGGTCTCGTTCTTTCATATGCATTTAGTATACTTATAAATATGCGTTAGGGATAAGTGCCACTTACGTATAAACATAGAAATTTCTAGTACTATTTTATTAAAAAGATAAATAAACTTTATCTCGATTTCCCCCTATTTTGAAGTCGGCTAAAGTATTAGACAGTTCTCGATTCATATATTTTTTTTACATATATTATCTCATAACTTCGTCATTTAAAACCTAATTTGAAAAATTATTTTTTCATCTAAATGAATATTCTTTTAGATTGAATTGAAGTCCAATAGAATTTTTAACAAAGTTAATTTAGTAGTTTAATTTTTAAATTAAATTAACTGGTTTTTCCACTATTGAAATTGATCTTATTTTGTGAAACAAAATCTCATTTGTTTTCATATTTTCTCGTACAAGAAATGAAATTATAAAATAACAATAAATAAGCATGTAAAAATATATGTATCTACCGTCTCGTTCAACTTCAATTCCTTGCTTAATAAACTTACCAATCACATATACACATTTACATTACACGTTCACTAATGTAATTGATTTTTGTCCCAAATGAATTGTTTCTCTTCTCACTTATGTCACTGTTCATTTCCAATGTACATAAATACGCTACACCTCGAATAATTTACTATTTTTGCATTTGCACTACGTCCATGGTCTCTGTAGAGCTGTGCCCAATTAGCCAATTAGTGGAACCGCTTATAGTTTGTTACGGAGTTTAATATTTATGGAAATTTTTATTACTATTCGCATATAAAAATCATCTCAGGTACTTATATATCCGTATTGAGAATCAATCGATATGTGTCAATATTGATTCAGACGTTTTGATTATTGGAGCAGCAAGCGTTACGAATTTTATCAATTATATAATATAATAACAGAATTTTAAACTACAAAAGCGACTTCAGTCTTGAATATACATACAGCGACTAATATTACATTATAATTTTCAATGTAATATTGAAAATATTTGAATTTAGTAATGGAATGACGTGTCTACATTGAACAAGCAGAGTTTGCTTCGCATTAAGCATTATTTGCAACGCCAAGTAAAACGGCAGCTTTGTTTATTGTATTATGTATGCAATATTGTTAACTGTTTTGTACTATTATTAACTGTGTTTCAGGTCGAATGAAAGTACACAATACAAAGACATAACATCTTAGTCAACAAGAATGCCAATGTACGAGGGGTATCATGTGCTTCATGGAACTATTCATGTCTATACGCGACGGTTACCACATCGGTGGGCTGTCAGCTTATTCGCCATTTTAAGTTGCATAAAAGAAAAGAGTTTGTATTTTTTTTTTTCTAAATTATTCTCAGTTGATTAATTTAAAGAACTAAGTTGTTTGGTTTATATAATAGCTTGTTCATTTTAAAAAAAATATTATAGCATTGATTCGGTTTAACGACCTATTCCGTCATTATGAAATTTGGTGTACACGCATTATATAGGACGAAGAAGGATATAGACTACTTTTTATCCCGATTAGTAAACATATCCCGGTCAAGCGAACGAAGTCGCTGGCAGAAGCTGGTAAATTATTTTTTACTATTAAAGGAACTATAGACATAGTATAACGTAGGTATTTATAATATAAAGGAAACCATAATCGATCCTGATCTCAACTAATGAGATATGATAATAAGATTTTTTTTATACCACTGAGGTGACAAACAAGCATACGGCCCACCTGATGGTAAATGGTTACCGTAGCCTATGAACACCTGCAATACCAGAGGCACTACGCGTGCCTTGCCGACCCTGGAGAAACCTCTTTACCCCCCTTTTGAAAAACCCCATGATGTACTCTCTTGGGAAAACTTCGGCAGGGAGCTCATTCCACAACCTGAGTGTTCGTGGAAGGAAAGATCTCTGAAACCGCGCAGTACGCGACCATTGAGGCTGTAGGACATGAGGATGAACTCCCTGTCGATGGCGAGCCGTACGATGGTGGAAAGTGGCTGTGGGCATCATATTGAACAATTCATCGTTTTAAATTATACAATACAATTGACTACAAATTGATCATATAACGTCACTGCGTTAAAATTAAAATTTTAATGTACCTGGCCCAATAATCGATACTTCCTCGACCTGTTGTGTACTTGCTTCTTATCAGCACGAATTGACAATGCCATTTATCAAGGTAAAACATTATTTACTACATAATTATGTAAAAACGCGAGCACTGGCATAAAAAATATATCAATGAAATATAGATGCTGGCCTTTTTTAAGCATTCTCAAGAAGAAGGTTTTTTTTTATACAACTTAGAATGGCAAACAAGCTGACGGCCCACCTGATGGAAAGTGGTAACTATCGCCTATAGACATGAGCAGTACCATGCACATAACAGAGTATACTGTTTCGCCCATGATACCCCCCAAGCGTTGCCATTCCTGAGGACTCAGGTGTTATTCCTCTGTACCCAGTAAATTCACGCCATATCTCACCCTTCAAACCGAAACACAGCCATGCAAACACAACTGCTTGAAACGGTTGAAACACGAATGGGACAGAGGTACCTAAGCAATCGACTTTTATACAAAGTCTCCCTCTGGTTAGGTTACATGATAGGGTTGTCTCTCTACTTGCTGCGAAGCCAAATCCATACACGATTCTGTAT